CTAAAAATAATTGAGTTGAATAGAGATTTGATGACATTGAATATTACTAAGCTATTATAATCTTTAGTTACTACATCTAAAGAAATTTATATAGGTAATATTTTAAAAAGACAACAAACAACCATTTATGAATTTTACTTGCACATGTTTATTTTTCTTGATCAAAGATATTTCTTATTTTTTAACAAAGACTTCATCTATAAAAAAAAAGTTGAGGCTCTTGAATCTAATAAAGCAAAGACTTTGTGATTATTTGGTCTCAAATAAACTTCTATTGTAAAACAGAGTAAGGGATTTGAAGAGAAAATATGATCTTTATTAGGTGTTATATAAGATTTCAACTACACGGTTCCTATTATAGCTAAAAAAATTGTTTTTTGACATATTTTCTATTTTGGAAATCATGTTCCTTATTTTGTGGTTATATTGCACTTTTGGACAATGTTGAGTAATGCTTAGGTTTTCTTTAATATAAGCATAAATCTTCTTGATGGAGTTGAATTTTTTCTTGTTCAATAAAAGCCTTAAAATATATCTTGTCAATTTATATAGGTTGTTGTCTTGATGAATAAGCTTTTGTAAACTTAGAAATTATTGCTATAGCTTGATTTGTACTTCTTCAATCAAATCTTTGTTTTTGGCTTCTTACAAAAAGTTAATTATTGCATGAAATGGCTTAACTAATAAATTCTTCTACCAAGCCTACTCTTGATATTCTCAAAAATAAATCTTAATTACACAATTTTTTTGCATAGATTTTGAATTTTATTATTGATTTATTTGATAAGTATCAAAATACTACCTCCATAATTGATGTTAGATATAAATAAGATTTCTACTCTTAGAATGTTAACAAGCTCATGAATATTTGCAATACTTATAAATGAATTCTCACTTCCATTGAGAGTAGCAACTATAATTTTTTTCTTCTATAGACAACTCAAATAAATCTAAAAGTCAAATTAGAGGAATGCAATTTTTAACTTCTAATATCAAATGAAAGTTTCTACAAAGAAAGATAGTCCATTTTCTTCAAAAAGAATAGTTAGTGTTAGAAAACTTAAAGGAAGTTTAAAAGTAGGTAGTGCATAATCTTCAAAATACAACAATACAAGTAGAGTAATCCACTCACTTCTAACACAAAACAAAGACAATAAGTTGGCTCTCTTATCAAATTGTCAAGGATATAAATCTTAGAGAATTAAAAGATCAATACACTCTTATGTCACTCAAAAAGATTAGAAAATTACTCAAAGATGATACAATATTAAAATGTAATTGTTATTGCTAAAGACATAAATATTAGAAAATCTTGAAATAAGACTTAGAAATAAGAAGGCATTGACAAGAGTAAAGAATGCTTTATTCTTGCTTCCATATATACTATCAACTAGAATAATTCTTCTGTCTCCATATATCTCTTATAGGATCTCTAATATATGTCCAATTTGCAAGATATGTGTTTTAACTTGTAAGACAAGTTTCTTATATGCGCGCTACATTGTTAGCTTGTACCACTAGCTATCCACATGTGTAATATATAACTACCTTGTTTGCCAAGTTTCTAACCTATCAATTAACTATAAACATGTATAAAGACAAATATGCATTTATGAAGCTTCTAGGAATCTATGCCATAAGATAATATGAAATCTACTTATATTTATCTTTTATCTAATACTTCTTATTTAAATATATATATATATATATATATATATATGTTGATGATAAATATTTGAGTATAAATTCAAATAGATTATGTATTACTTTATTTCAAAGACTAGTAAACATTATTAGAGATGTGCAAAATCAAGAAGTTAATATGCAAAATCTAAGACAAAGAATAATTCTTTTATCATCTCATATTGAAAGTACAAAAAACTTGTTTGAAATTTTTTAAGATTTTATGGACATTATTTGATACTGTCAAGATCTAAATATATTTGATATAATGACAACAAATCCATTGTGGCTGGAGATCTCAAATACACCCTTTTTAGAACAATGTATCAAAGATCGACATAATTGAATAGCAAGAGTATTTGAATTAAAGCATTGTGCATTGATTGAAGATTTTTATAAGCATCACATTTTAGGACATGGACTTATAAAAGTGCATACTATTGAATTTCAAAAATAAGGTCTTTTGCAAATGTACTTCTAACTCTTACTTTTTATCAAAATAATAAAATAAGAGATTTAACTAATGTTGATAAGATTATTTTTGCAAAGTTTTTTAGTAAAAAAGAAGTTCCATTATTGTTTGAGATAATTATCATTTGTATGGTTCATAGTCCATATTGACCTTGAAATATGTAAGTTTCATACATAAAAGATAGAATATGAAAAAAGAAATATTCAAAAGATTAATAAGAAGTAATATCAATGAATAATGATGGATATCATCAAAATCATAGAAAAAATGATAGAAGAACTTTTAATATTAACAATTAAGTTATAAACAATCAAAATATTATTCCATACAATCCTACTTTTAGTAAGAAGTATAACTACAATACCAACATTGAGATTTGTGCTTCTATTTGTATTAAAAAATATATTCACAAGTATAATTATTAAATGCATGATTATACAAAAATATATATTAAAAATGAATATCATGAAATCAAGTAATATATTGATGTATGGTATATTTTGTATAGAACAAGATTTCAAAGACATGGACATTAAGACAATATGAATTTGCTATTAGAAGGTTATATTTTATTGATCATATTGTAAGAAAAAGATTCTATCTTTGGCTTAATTCTAATAGTGGTATATAGACCACATTCATTAAAAGATTTACATAATATAAATAGAGTATTTCAACCAAATTATAAAAGTGCATATTGTTGGAAGATGACAAAGAATGGAATCAATGCTTAGAAGAAACCTCTGTAATAAAAATAAAGAAGCAATTAAAAGCATTGTTTGTTATTATATTTTATTAATATTTACCTGTACATCTAGAAGAGCTATAAGAGAAGTTTAAAGAATTTTTTTGTGATGATATAAGTTATCAATTAACTCAAGATTATGGAATTGAAAGGCCAATGCAAAGGAATATATTAGATTATGGACTATTTTTTCTTGATAAGATTTTTTAAGAATCAAACAAAATACTTGCTGATTTTCTAATGATGCCTTTGTGGAAAAAGAATTGGAATGAAAATGATACAAATTAAATTTTTATAAAGCATATGACATGGAATCATGATGAGTTAAAAAGAATGGTAGAAGAATGTGTGCCAAAGTCAAATGATGAACAACATATTATATATGTTGATATCCTTGCTTCAATGGATAACAATCTTGGAAGATGTATTTTTTAGAAGGACCACGAACAAGTGGAAAAATATTTGTTTATAATACAATAGCAATGAATTTTTGAAGTGATAGAAAAATTATTTTGTATATTGCTTCTTCAAGAATTGCAGCACAACTGTTAAGTAGTGGACGGATTGCATACTTAATGTTTAAAATTTTGCTCAATCTTTATAAAGATTTGTTTTGCAATATTACAATGAATGCACCATACACAAATGTGCTAAGAAAGACAATTCTCATTGTTTGGAATGAGATACAAATGTATCATCACAATTGTGCTGAGGCAGTTGATAAAATTCTTTGAGACATAAATGACACTAATAAGTAATTGGACAAAATTATTATAATCTTTGGTGGAGATTTTCAGCAAATTCTTCATATTGTTGTTAATGGCTCAAGAAAAGTGATTGTTGATGCTTTTTTGCAATGATCAAATATCTAGTCTAATACTAAAGTATATAAATTATTCAAAAACATGTGTCTAAATGTGTATTTCATGAAAATCAATTATTTGCTAAAGAACTTTTGAAGGTATGCATTATATAAGATTGTTATTTAAAAAAAAATGATATATTTGTTATTTTTAATATATATAATATTATTTTTTATTTATAGATTAGAAATGGATCAACAATTATAGATCCATTGAAAAATAATATAATTTTTTTAAAACATATATAAGTAGATTCAATTTCAAATGATTTGATTTAAGTAGTTTATTCAAGATTGAATGATAATGGAATACTTGGATGATTATTTCATTGATATGTTTATTTTATTTGCTGAAAATTATGATGTTGATGATTTAAACAAGGATGTTATGCAAAGACTTTTTGAAATTTCACATATTTATCCCAATGTAGATATAGCAATTATAAAAGATAGTACCAATAATGGTAATTATTATCCAACTAAGAATTTCAAAAGTTTATATCCATTTGGATTGCCACCATGTAGCCTGGAACTCAAGATTGGATGTCCAATTATGTTGTTGCAAAACATTGCTATGCATCAAGGACTTTGCAATAGATCACAATTGGTCCTTATACAACTAACTAATCAAGTTATAAAAGTAATTTTTTTACCTGGAGACTACAAAGGATAGTTGGCTTTTCTTCCAAGGATCACATTATATGACTTTTCTTCCAAGGATCCATCATTTGTAGAGATTTTGTTCAAGTTGCAGCAAAGGCAATTTCCAATGAAGGTGAGATTTGTAATGATCATTAATAAATTTCAAAGACAAGCATTGAAGAACATAGGAATAGATATTAGAACCCTAGCATTTGCATATGGATAGTTGTATGTTGCATTATCACGATGCTCTTCTCTGAATATGATCAAGATCCTATATATCTTCTCATCTTAAGGATGTAGAAGTGTGCATCATTTTAATGTGCTATGGTTTATACAGATATGGACGCCATGTGCTCCAAAGGCGGGAACAATCCGACGTCACCCCCGAATCAACTCCACGTCGGCCTCCGCAATGCCAACGGGACACACGCGGAGGAGCTGAGTCAGCACCTAGGTGGCAGTGCAGATGGGGGGTGGGGGAGCCATGTGTGCTAAAAGAGGGCCAATAAGGCAGTGTCACGTGGCAAGTCGCAGAGCCACGGGGGCCATGTAGGCAACCAACCCTCTGCTTTCTTATCTGGAGGGAGGGGGCGAAGTCTCGAGCTTATTCTCGTCAGCTCCACAGCCGTAGTGCCGCAATTCACAGCTTCCCTTCGTTGCCGAGCTGCTGCGAGCCCTACCACGAATTTCCAACCCAAGCTCTGGCTATGGCGCCTCTTCGCAAGCAATCCCACCTGGATGGCGTCCCCAACCTGCCATTGCTCACGCGCCGGGCCTGTGGAGAGCTCCGGGCCGCGGCGGAACAGCACTTGCTGCGAGCGGAGGCGTGGCTGAAGCAGGTGAGCGACAGCATTGTGGCCCGGAATCCCGCCCTGCAGCAGGCGGTGTTGCGGTTGGGGGATTACCAGGCGGGCGTGCAGATGAACCGAGCTCCCTCGACGAAGCAGGTGGCACTGCGGAGCCGTAACTTTGCGGCTATTATCCCTGGTGACTCTGTTGCGGAGATGGTGATATCGAGCTCTGTGTACAACTTTCTTAATCTTTACAATACGGTGTTGATTGCGCGGTTGGTGTTGACTTGGTTCCCTAGCGCGCCTGAAGTGATCGTGAACCCGCTGAGCACGATTTGCGATCCTTATTTGAACGTGTTCCGGGGCATTATTCCCCCGTTGGGTACCATTGACCTATCTCCCATTCTTGCTTTCACGGTGCTCAATGTGTTCACCAGTACTGCTCAGGCTCTTCCTTGTGAGCTCGACCACAAGCCACAGCAGAAGCTCGGATGGAGGCAGTTGGTGCAGCGCAGGAAAGGTCTGAAGGGGCCTGAACCGAAGTGAGCTTCATCTTCCCCGTCCAGTTAGGCTTTTGTAGAATTGAGATTGGTTCAAAGAGCCTTGAGCGAAATTGTACCGAGGTTGTACACTTAATGTCCTTTGTTTCTTTAGACCCATTCCCTCCCCTTCTGCCGTCCACCCAATTAGAGATTATCTCCTTAAGTGGAGCGTCAGGACCTTTTTGCATTATTCTTTCAAGGTTTTTCTTCACGTTTTGGCTTGCACTTGTCTTCTGATAGTAGCAATAACAAATTCATGTAGCCCATCATTGGATATCAGAATTTTCTTCTTTGCACCCAAATGGCTGTGGTTGCTTCGGCCTTGTTGCACTTCGCAATTAGTGTCTCGTTCCTGAAATGTAAGGTGCCATCAATGTCATCTACTGAAACCTGAAAAGTTCAAATGCGACAGCGGCGCGAGCTTCTTCGCCTTCTTCTTTGTTCTATGTGGGATCCGCACAATCACCCATTTGATGGTAACTTTTCTCTCTTCATCAAGTGCAATTTCGCACACTAACTCTACTTAGGAATCACAACGACGTTCAACGTGCGTCAAAGTTAACCTCAACACCGTGCTTGCAAACGTTTAGGGGTCGCTTTAGGGATTCAAAATCAACGTTGGAGCAACTGTGCCGAGCTCTCGATTTACCCACACACACTGAATTTGCTAGCTTGTATTCCCCTATCAGTAGCATGCTGAGCTAGAGTACAAGTAGGCTGCTACATATCAAACATTTCATGGCACAGCTGTTCACTTCGTAGGCATTCCGAAGCATGGGTGTCAGATTAAGGACCCCTCTACGACACATTCTGCACAATGAAGTTTGGGATTTGATACAGTGAACACGGATTCGAGCTCAAACCTTTCCTCCATTTCCAAGGCCGTTTAAACATGCTCTTGTCAACGATCAGTGCAGCTTTCATAACCCAAACAATATTACTTTTTAATGATGAAATTCATGAATTAAAACTACCGCAAAGTCGCACCTTGAGATGGAAAACAATTATCACTAAAGTGTGTCGAAGATATCTATCTCCGAGTGCATGATACGCAGGATTGCAGATATTTCGTAGACTTCGTCTGTTGCTGGAAGGAATGAACCCCAAAGGATGACACCTCAACGAACGACATTCATTCATCTTGAAGGATGATGTCAGTGGATGATGACATTATCATCCATACTGTTGGGAGAAAAATGTTCACTAAAAGTTTGTGGGTGTTGTGTGGATGTTTAAAATATAGTATAAAAAATCATATATTGTGTGATCGTGACAAATATTAGGATCCATTGAATAATAACATTGCGTCAGTTTATTTTATTTTATTTTATTTGTGAATACTATACATACAATTTAAAAAGAATAGCATAAGATTATTTACACGATTGATAAACCAACTTCTACAATTTAAGGACTTCGTATTTGCTTAAATTTACTGTAGAAGAAGACATTACAATCTGTACTACTACATTTGTTTTTCAAAGTGGAATAGTTGTGTTGTTTTCACTAAGCTTAGTTTTCCATACTGACTCTTCTCAAAAAATGTAAAACGATTGTATTCACAAGGTGACTCAATCAGAGAATCTGCTATTGTGTAAGCATTTGATAACTCTTTTTGGGACTTTAATTTTATTCTTTCTGTCAAACTGGTTTGTGATTCAATCTCCCTTCAATTATCACCAAACTGTGTCCTGTTTTTTTTTGTTTGTTTTCTTTTTTGTTAGTTTTGTCAAACGTGTCTCCCTTGTAAGCTTTCTATGAGACGAGAAGAAAACTTCACTGGGGGGCATTTGGATCAAATATAGAGTTCAGAATTGCTGCAAGCCTTACACCTCCTTGTGCCAACCGCAATTCAACTGTTGGTAACCTGGACGTGTAGTATTCATCTACACAAGTAGCCAGAAAAAAATATATAAATATTAGCAAATATGTTCAGCTCATTCGGTATTTCTCTGTAACAAAAGTAACGTTATTTGCTGTAGACATTACAATTTCTAGCTTCATAGAAACCCAGTAAAGCAGCTGCAACGCAAAACGAGTCAGCTTGTGAACACATCTGTCTGTCAACCTGGAAGTTTATTTTACTACAAGCGCAGGGAGAACAACGCTTGGTTTTCAATGGTTGCGGCGTTTAGTAGAGGTTTTTGAGAATGTGCTCAAATCAATAAAGTGAGTGTAAGGGCCTCACCACCAAGTGCAGTTCCAGGGGCAGCACCACTGTATGCCCACTTACAGGCAAGATTTATACTCTCCGTTGCATACCTGCCAAGGATGGAGATCAATTATCTATATCAATGATCTCAAAAGCGTAAAATATAGATACTTGGGTATAAATAACATGCACTGGTTTTGCACTCTCGGTTCTTCAGTTTTTGCCATTAGAAGATTGAGAGAGCCTTTGGAGAATTCACTCACGTGTCGGGACAGGAAAGTTTGCGGTTGTGGCAAATGCCCCAAGCGTCGACCTCACTTGCCCAATTGTCCTGCAGCTCTCTCCTCCCCATCAATGGATATATGAAACAGTTTCTCAAGCATGTAGACAGTTCAGATCTTAGAAGCTATTGATGTGCAATTGCTCATCTCTTCGATATGAAGCTTTCGTTATTAATGGCATGTGAGGTTTTCTTACTGTTGCATTGTTGAGTATACTGTCAGCCATGATTTCCGGATCTGAGTTGTGGTTTTCTTTCAATGCTTTGCTAACAATTTCAGTATCCCATACCTGCTCCGCAACACAAAACGCTGAGATTAGAAATGAGAAGTTAACTTGTTCTATTTTTTTTATTTTTTTATTTTTTATTTTTTGGTTAAACAGCATGTGGGACTTTTCAATTCGACAAAGGATCGAGGTAATTGGGCTGCTTTCATTTCCAGGCAGAGGGTTTACATGATGCAAGTCACTTCTCCGATGGTACCAATATACGCTGATGTTGTTTCCTCCCTGGTCTGATCGAAAGCCAGTGTGCAATGGCTGCAATCAACGCAGTCAAGCTTGTCAAACACGAACTTCACCTCGATGGTTCGCATACTAAAAATATCCTACACATCAGAATTGTACACAATTTCTTGTTCGAGAAACACACATCTGTAGTTGATTGTGGAGCTGAGAAGGATACGTTTAAATTAGATGGATGATGCTATGTGGGATCTTAAAAACCAGTGATTCAAGTACTTACTTGGTGGATGTCACCCATAAAATGAGCTAGAAAGAGAAGAGCTTCTGTCACATCTTCCGCTTCCCCGAATACAAATGCCCGGTAACAAGTGAATATGTCTGATGAGGATCCATAACTTGAAGATCCAGAATCTGAGTGGATTCTTTTTCTAGTTGCAGGCTTTAGTGTGCTTGTGAGCTCAATAGAAAACCATGCGAGATCTTCGAACACATTGGTTCTAACTCCAACTTGTAAGGAATGAAAATAAACAAACAGAGAAACATTTTTAATGCAACTTCATAGCAGCAAAGTAGAATACCTCTACCGTTTTTCATGTTGCGGTTTCTGGTGTGATTCCACAATATATGGGTGAAGTTGTTGATAGCCCCTGAGATGCACACATTTGGAGTTCCCATGTGGTCGTGGCAATCTCCTGTCATACAAATCGTTTCATTTCTTCTCAGCACGACATGGATAATAACAAACCACGAAAAACATGGTCTTGCAGTTTATAAATTTTTTTCATAAGTTCCTCTGTAGAGATGTGTGAATCTATGAGCAGAAGCGACACTCAAGAGTGGACTTCAATTTTCCCTCAGGATGTCGAGACTGAAGACCAAAGATCATATCCTCTGTTCCCAGATCTGCACCAAAACATGAAAAGAAAACTGCATCTTCCACAACCCTCTGACTGAAACAAAATTGCATAATTATACGTAATTTGAATGGGAGTTGCAGACTCACGATTGTAGTCATACTTGCACACGTGGTTTGGGGTGTTAACCCAGTGAAGCTCCCGGGTCCATTTATACTTATCCATCCAGCGCACGTCGTCTGGCCATGTGCACAAGTCGGCCAAGTTCCCGTTGGCAGATTTGGGGAGCAATGCAGCGATAGCTTGTTTGGTAGGCTCATACAACAGAGGCTGCAGCACCCACAGAATCATAATCTCCAACAGATCTTCCAGCCAACACATCCTCAACTTATCACAAACATCCAACCACTCAACCTGCAGCACCTCGCAGTCCAACTCACCTCAGCAATCAGACAAGTGACTCGGTGTCCGTCAGCTCCCCAAGCAACAACCTGCTCGACACGAAACAACACTCCAAAAGCAACAGCAACAGTAACAACAGCAAACATCATCGTTAACGCCATTCCGTATCCCACCCAACTGTATCCACAGAACTCACAGCATGTGGAGAATATGCTGATGATTGCAAGCGATGCAGTGGGCGTTCAACCCACAACAAAGGCAAGACAAACACTAACCCAGCGTCCTTGAATCCTGCACTAATGTACTGCAGTCCAGCTAGAGGTTTGAGTGGCTACACCCCATGTTGTGGGTGAGTTTTATATCGGCAGAGATTGGGCATGAGATCATGCAAACCCAAGCTGGAGTTTGCTCAGACTAGATAGATTGCTGGCATGGCGGAGCTGCTCCCTTAGACTGTGTGTAATCCATGCAGCACCACTACCACCACCACCTGCAACTTGACAGGTGAGTGCTCCATTCATTCATTACGCAGCACCTCCCACGCCTCCCTCACTCCCACACTAGCTATGGTACAACAACAACAACTCTGGTGGTGGTGCTGCTGTGTAGGTGGTGGCCAAGCTCCTCCTCCTCAATATTCCTCTGTCCTGACTGATACATGTCAATTGGGTCCAAACATGGCCTTCTCGGGTGATATTTCACCCATGATATTTGCTCAAAATCTTTTGACACTTCAAAATATCACTTGATACTTCACCAAATCACCTACCTCTCACGAGTTGGATGATTTTGAAATTGAAATATGAAAAGAGGGGCATTTCAAGTATAAAAAACAGGGTCACTCGCCTCAACTCTCTTCCCTCAATGGTTAATGGTAATGTTTTGGATTTGATATTTTGAGTGATTCTAAAAATATTAGGTATTGAATTTCAGTTATTTAGTTTTGCAAAAGTGCCATGTTTGAAACCCCCTAATTGTTCCTATGCTTGCACCACACACTATAGCATCAATGGTTTAATGGTTTGTGTTACTCATTTAGAATGTCTAACATTCATTCCTTGTATTGATGTTTATTATTGTCTAGATTTATGGATAATATAATAGGTTTTGTTAACTTGTGATTTGTGCACATTGTATAATTTTGGAGAATGTTGATGATTGATATTTGTATTTGTTGAACTTGCAAAGAGTTAGTCATAGCACTCTTACACATGTTGATTTATTTACTCCTAGTTTAGTTGAGGTTTGAAACTCATTGAAAAGTGCAATGTATAGATGAACGTTGTCAACATTTTATGGACTAGTTTTGGAATTTTACTTCTTAATTAGAATTGATTAAAAGAAAATACTATACTAAATCACTTGCTATCAAACAGTTATACTAAGAAAAATTGTCCCAAAATAATTTTCATTTATGTTGTGTGTTAAATTGAATTTGTGCATATTTTAATAAATAAAATTATTTAAGAAAAAAATTACTTTGTATTATTACAAAGTATCATATTTAAATGTAATGCTTTTACAAATATTAAAATCTAAAAAAAAAACTAAGGTTAGTTGTAATTCACTATCAAATTACATAACAAAAACATGAAGATTTGAATTGTTAAATCAAAATATTAAATATTTTGAACTACTAGAGTTTAGGTAGTTCAAAGCTTGGATAGTTTAAAGACATTTTTGCAAACCAAAGACTTGCAAGTTGAAACTTCAACAAACTCAACCATTGACATATATAATATTTTTTGATGTTAACAAAAAAAAAATACTTAAAAAGTGAAATATTTTATTTTATTTTATTTTAAAAATTTTAAAAATATATTTTTAAGATAATAAATATTATCTTTTATTATTGATAAAATAATATTATTTAAATGAACTTTAAAATAAAAATATTTATTATTTTATTTCTCTATAGTAGAGGTATTTTTAGAAGCTTAAATTGCATTAAATTTAAGCTTAGGCAATCTTAGTTTTATAAGAATAAATACATGTAGAATGAGTATTGCTTTTGATATTTTTATTTTTTCACAAGACCTAATTTAGAATATAAGTTATAAGTGATATATATATATATATATATATATATGTATTCTGAAGAGTCAATGGATGCATTTTTTTTCTTTATATAAAAAAAGCTAATAAAAATACTTTCACTATATATATATATATATATGTATATATTACATGTTTTTATTTTTGATTTTTTGTGTTTTTTTGTTAAAAATAAACCCATTATTTATTATTTTAGTATGTGTTAAATATATAAACATATATTTATAAGTGAACATGTTAAATATATCCACATAGCAAAATAATGCTATGTGTTAAATATATACACATATTTTTAAAAACAAACCTCGTAAGGGTACAAAAGAAATCAATCATTTAATGAATGGAAATAAATTTTAGAACAAAAATGCTTCACTTTATGAACTTTGCTTAAGAATGCTGTCAAAGATTTCCATCAAAGTATCAAAGCAATTTGTGTAATGCAATTCGTAAAAATAAAACATATGCTTTCTCTTACAGCTTGCTATTTGAACATCATGCAAAGGCGTTTCTATTTTTAGCTTCGTTGCAAATTGGGTTTTTGAAATATTATTTGAGTTTTTAACATTTTACAATGTTAAATCAGAATTATTCGAAAGCGTCGTCTGTTAAAAGAGATATGACCTCAAATATAGTCAAGTGATACCATTTTACAACTAAAATGCAATGAAATGGCATCACAAACCATGTCTTCAAAGCAAATTAATCCTGATGACTAGCCCAGTTCACAATTCTAAGCCGCAACTTTTGACTAACAACACAAAAATAGAAGTGGTAATGTGATATTCTAGCCCCACATTAATGAATTGAGTATTGTATCGAAATTGAATCGAAGAAGAAGTTTGAATGCATAATTATGGAAAATGCTATTTTAAGTGCCAAAATGCTTACAACTTTGCAAAGCTGTTCAAGCAATGAAACATATAAAAATGTTGACAACCATGCAAATGCTTTTATCGTACAGTTGACAACTCTTAGCATCCCACAACAAGTAGATTTGTCCAATCCATGCTATTTCCATGAGCACTAACTTTACTTCCATACCTCCACCACGTTCTGGATATTCCGTAGCAATGTGTGTCACATTCCAAAGTCGCCAATTCACTTCTGATGTGAACTTGCAAGGTTCCAGTATGGCTTACCTGTAGCAGTAGAGCTTCTATATTGTTGAAAATTAATCACGTGATGGGCTGCGAACATACACCTTGACGAATGGTCCCTCTCAAAGTGGCGAGACTGACAAGCGTCCACGAAGTAAAACCTCGGAAGTAAAGGCAACATCTCACATTCCCATCAGAAATCTTTGCAGCACATTCTAAAATAAGATAAATATGACATATGTCCTGAACCACATGAGACTCCTAATGGAACTCTAAACAACAGTGTAACAATTGAGTTGCAGATTCAGATGACGCAGTATGAGAGACATGATACAGCTGCTAAGGACAAGCCTCAGTAAAAAAGGGAAATTCGATCCATATTCAACAGGCAGCACCATTGTGCACATAAGCATCAATAGGTGCAGCAGATGAACAAAATACCTCAACACCAAGTTGAACTCCACCTACCTTAGGAGGAGTATTAAATCCGATCTGGGAAGATCAGAAACAAGCACCTGAAAGGTGAATCTCTCAGCAATTCATAGAATTGACGCTAGATGTAGATTTTTAATCGTCAGGACGTAAAGTCCAAATAAAGGCATGCATACCTTAAGAATGGAGGAAACAGCCAAACTATCCTTACACGACTGACCTCAAATTATAATTTAAGTTAATGCGGCATGAAGTTCTCTTCATATCCACAGCTATTTCATAGAAAACTCAAGAAATATGCACGTTTCCATTCTGTGTGCAAACAGGGCCTTTAAATTTCAGCGGTCTTGTGTGCTTTGCCGCCACTGCTTCGAAACCTGACGGAGTAATTACACTGGGGTCTCGCGACTCAGGAATGACTTCCTTCAAAAACTCTTGCGCAACGTCGCCATCGTCGTCTGCACGAAGCTCTTTAGCATACCATGTCAACCCCTGTGCATACCGAAAAGAGTAAGTGTCGAAAGCCGAAACATCGAGTTAAACACTTATTCGATGTAAAGACGAAAGAGGTCAGACTTCGACAACTCCTAGATACGAAATGAAGCCGTAATCATTAACAGCTGGCCAACGCTAGGAACCGATTGACTACCTATTTAATCCTCGTCTTCTAAACTAATATAATTGACTCAAGCAGGTCACACATCTTTAACTTGAAGAATTCAGCAAGAGATCAAAAACTGCCCAGTGTGTGTATAACATTGCAGGAGCTGCATTGTCAAACACAATGGCAGCCAGAAAATTTGAATGCCCTCTGAAGTTACAGCAACATCCTTGTTACACGTCTTGCATCAGAGAGAGTGGGCTTTAAATCACACGTGACTTGCCAAATATGTGCTGCTGCTGCTGCTGCTGCTGCTGCTACAGCTTTCACTTCTGGATCTACTGCACTTCAACCTCGACACTTATAACCAACAGAACATGGAACACTGCCATGACGAGAAAACAAAAGGAACAGGCATTTGACGAAGTTAAAACTTACTTGGACTCCGCCATCACCATTACATTCAGAAACAACAGGGGCATGAACAACAGGATCTGCCGGAACGGCAACCTGCACACTGAAACCTCGTCCTCCTCGTCCCGAACTTACTTCTTCAGGTATCGATTGTGGAGCGACAACTTCTGAAACTTTCTTCTCCTTCTCAATTTTTTCTTTCTCCTCTTTCTTGTTATGGTGGTGCGAAAAACCACCAAAAATCTTTTTCAAGATCCCAGCCATCTCTCTTTTCTAACCTACACCACGATTCAGATGCAAAAGGAACTCCTTTCCAAGTACTTCCGCCTACAGACTCGAAAAAAGTAAAGGAGACAAAAATCTCAAATCGATGTTAATGTCAAAAACGTTCAAAACAAACCAAAAAAGCGCTTCACACTAAAATCCTCCCCACGACTCATCAAACTCAAATCTACTCCAAACCACAACAAATCCAAATTGAGCTGAACACATTGGGAGGCGACCAAACGCGACCAAACGCATACCTCACTATTAACCCTAACCCATATGCTGTATCTCGTGTCACCACCAAATCTACACCCCGAGACCAAGATGCAAACCTCTACAAAAATCACGAAACCCTAACCTTCCAACCCTCAGAAACACCCCAAAAAAAACCCCCCACCCACAAATCCTCGATCCACCTGTAATCACAACACCATGAGACACGCTAAAACTCTCAGACGCAATCCACTACCTGAGATGACACAACCCACAAAGCATCGTTCCTCGCTTCTGCACAGCTCACACCCACCCTCGAACTGCACCAAAAAAACTCAAACCCAGACGGAATTCTGCGGCGAGAAAAGGGATCGGAACGGGAAAGCGAGGGGAGTGGGAAGCAGGCACAAGGGATTCGAGCAGCAAAGAAGAGGGAATGAGGGAAGAGAGCGAGCGAGAAGAGGCAGCAGCAGGAATAGCGATGGATGATGGGCTCTGGGGAGGTGTGCCTGTGCCACCACAGCCAACCTGCGAGAGAGAAACCACTTGATAATATCTCCTTCCACACCGAGAGCATCGGACTTTACCTTTTGTCCACCTCATCCTAATTCCGCTGCCAACCTGGCACCCCCCTCTCTCCCATTTTGCATAATTTGCGGTGTCTTCCCAGCCGCAGATCCCGATAACATAACTTTAGCCGTTTTTCTTTTCTTTGTCCAAAACGCAAACGTTACCTTTCCTGTGCTATCTCTAGTGAATGCAGCATGCATCCCCCTACTGTCCATTTAGAATGGTGGTAATAATACATACATACATACATGTAGGCAATCCAGATCATGTGTTGGTGGTTGAGTGTGTGAGGTGTCCAACTTTAAATCAGTGATTTTGTTGTGAATAAAGCATTGCATGTTATACACACACACACTCACGTATATTTATAGGACATGCATATTTATCTAGGACTGATAGGAAAAGCTAACTTTCTAATTGACTTTTTGAAACACATCTATTATATTTTTTTTAATATGATTTTTTTTATATTTTCAAAATAAATGCAATTGTTGGCTTCCAAGATTCATATTTTGCATTGGCATCAATTTAAACATAAATTACACAGCAGAATTTTTCCACACATGTAATTTTTTTTGATAAGTGTGTGTGTGTGTGTGTGTGTGAAAATTTATATTTATATTTACATGCATATGTGTATGGTACATTTAATTTTGGGGAAGAAAAAGGAATGTCAAATTAGTTCTTTTGATCCATGTAGAAGCTCTTGCAAGTTACCAGATGGATATCAATTTCAATATTACTACGTCTTTCTCTCAAGTTGCCTTTGATGGTGTCATGCTCACTTTGCACCATGACACCATTTGTTCTTTCAGATAAGAATGAATGAATAATTAGAATGAACAACCGATAAGAACAAACGACTGAAACAAATGAACAACCGAAGTGGATGAACGCACAATTTCGATGAATGGAAGGCCTGCACGAATGAATGAATTTTACGAATGAACGAACGATAGTTCTATATAAGTGCGTTCACGCATGCACGTGATGTTCATGTCCAATTGAGGAAATCCTAATTTGAAGACTGTCCATTCACCCCCATTGCTTCTTCACTTCGCAGCTCTTGAGCTTCCAGTGCACTTGTCCCCGCACCTAGTCTCTAATTCCTGCTTGTTTGCTTACTTGTTGAACCCTCCAGCCTTGCCATCCACTCTTGCCCCGCTGGTTTCGAGTTTGTACCCTCCAACTTTACCGATCTGTCAAGGTGCAAGGCCTTTGCAATCGACTCCATCTCCGTTGTCGTGGCATCTTCCCACCCACAATTGAAGCGCATGAGTTTTGAAGTTTCTGATAAATAGCTTGTTAAAAGTAATCTGTACAGCTCACTGGAGTGTTGCGAAGGTGCTCTGACAGTGATTGCGTGCATTTCAATATGGGAGAATAGATTCGGAACGAATGGAGGGTGATGCCGCCATCCCAGATTGCTGCATGTGACGGGAGGCTTTTTCAGGACCCCCAAGAGCGAATATCGCGTCCGAAATCCACGCAGCTGCTCTCTTGTGGGAGGAGTATGTTATGGTGTGCTGTTGCTTGAGCAGGTCTCAACGATTTGCATTGCGAGTGACACTGTTATGACCGGTTGTGACTTCGGGGGGCCCATTACTGTCATTGAGCCCATGACATGCTGGGTTGTGTCTTTATTCAGAACCCATGGGAAATCAGCCTGCGACACTGAAAAAACCAATTTAGCTTCCGGTCTGAAGCTGGCGTTGAAGCAATGCTTGGTTAGGTTGGCCTTGGCCGTGGACCGGAAAGGTCTAAATTTATCTTCTGGCTCTGTATTGCTTCTGCTCTCGGAATCTTCAACGAGATTGGGAAGGAATTGGGTTTTTTTCTTTTAGTTTCGGCCCCTTGATCGTCGTCATTACATTGTCTTCAAGACATGAAAGTGGACAGGTGCGCTCTCAGTGAGTTTTTTGAGCGCAAACGAGGCACTTTATGGTCACGCAGAGCGTGTTGATTGAGAAAAGTGACGTAGGTCAGAAGTCCATCGGTTAGAGTCCCTGGACCTGTCTAGATAGCTCTAGATATAGTGAGAAGGGCTGCCTGCGGAACTGCCGTATCAACTCGTTCGTGGAGAATGGTACCGCCGTGGAGAAATGAGGAAGACGTGAAAGGCGAGGCTTACCCGCTACCGTCTTAGTGATGTCAAAGTTTGAGTCGACCCTCCTGTGCTTAGAAGTTGGTCGAACCTAATCTCTACATAGTGACAGGTGATGGCCGTGTGTTGGCCTGAGTGCGCAGATGGCAATGAACCTAATAGAAGCGTCATTTGAACTTATGTTACTGAGCTCTTGAGCCATTATTGCTTTTGATGCTTACATGATCATCCGTAGCCAAAGTTTTCCGTCATCTTGAAAATTTTGACAGTCCGCCGCCATGTTGGTCACCTCCCTTCCCTTTATTCTTTGCCTCATACATCTTTTCCAATCCAGTCCAACACAGCAGAAGTAGCAGCTACTTGAATTCAACAAGGTGCTGTAAAAAACCCTGTGAGCCGAGTGAAACAATGTCGTCAGCGATCATCGTCGTTCCGTTGCCTCTTGTGGTGACATGATCTCAGGTGAAGGAGTAGTTCAGAAATCCCACTGATCGTGATCGCTGAGTACTTTCTCCCTTGGTAATTTCCATGTCCAGTATTCAGACTCACCCTTGACCTTCATGAATCTACGCATGATCAAGTTAAGGCGAAAGTGTGTTTGATGATGAAATGGAAGCGGCTTGATTAGTCACTTGCGGGGGGTCTCATTCAACATCGAAATTGGAGTGCATGTAATCTAGTGGTTCATCAATCACATTGAAATCATTGTCGGATAAGCCTTCAACAGTTAAATAGGCGTCCTAAGAGATTCCGATGGCATCATCAACTCTGAGTGCTTCGGTGGTCGGCGACTCTACAGCTCTAGCTTACAGTGAAGACATCAATCAGTAAATGATAATGACTTCAACGCAAGACCTGCACTTTCAATCGAAAAGTGATTTTAGTCGATCTAGCACACGGTATGCATCCGTTGTGCACTAATACAATGTTTGGTCATGAGGAACTCATGTAATTTGAGCCGAGGTTTCTTACTGAGAGCACGAGTAAAAGTAGTCGAATGTTACCCACAGGAAGCGCATCCAGTCTTTATTGGCGGACATTTCTAAGCATTATCATCATACATTTTTACAGTCTAATAAAGTGTATAGTGGTATGTGGCCTGACAATAAATTCTGGTCGAGATGTTGAACTGTCAACATTCTCTCTTCCACTTAATTTTTTTTTCTACTCGAAACACCACTATCGCTGTTCTTATAATCTTTGACAGTTTGGAAGATCAAGCTGGACATTAGCCATGGTCAATAAATTCGTAATCAACAATGAAATCATCTCATCCTCCTGTTGAGAAGCTCCAATGCTGGCAACTTGTTGAAAACTCATAGATGTCAAAGATTACATAGCTTATCTCGCTGTTAAATGAGGGAGCGGTTAAATTGAATCGGTTTCTTACGTCACCTTCGTCAAAGTTCTGAGAGCTGGGGTGAGAATAATTGAGTGACCTAGTTTCTACAGCAGGCTCAGTGAGACGCAAAATTAGTCGCAGCAATCGGCAAATAGTGGATATCTAACGTTGCGGACTAAAAAGTGCGAAAAAATAGTCCAATCCACTGGCACGAATGAAAACGACAAGGAGATTGGGTTTGCGAATAATTTGGCAGATTTAACTAGTTGATAGAAACCTAATCAAGAGTGTGGTTATAAATCGGTAAAAGCATCCAATGCGTACGAATTGGAAAATCGGATTTCGTTTGGACGCGTCTGTCATGGTTTGCGTTGCAGTTCTTCAGGAAGTCTTGTGCAGATTATGATTCCTGTGGAATAGGTTAATTGTGATGTATTCAATGACAAGATGCGACGCGTGTGTGGGGAGCTTATAATCGAGGTTTGTGTTACTCAATTAGGGTTTCAGTTTATGGTGCTGAATTTGTGATGATGTTTCAGGTTACGTATCATTTTGTAGAAATGACTAGGAATGATTACTACGAGACCTGTGCGAACTATGTTATTTCTCCTGCACTTGCGGAGATTTTGGAGGATCATGGAGATTCGTGTTTGCCTGAGTTGCAATTGCAATGTTGACGCTAAATTTTAACTTTTTCCTTGTTCAGTCTATTGTCGATTTATTTGTTGGTATACGCAATGCAATGTGTATCTTTCCATTCGAGCTAGGGCTTTGGGTTTATGAGACTTTCGAACTGAGTGCTGGGTATTTGGAATCTCCAAGCTAAGTGGCTGAGATCCTCTCGCCCACCCACGAAATGAGTTTGTTTTAGTGGACTTCATGATGGGGCGAGCTAGAAGCAAATCGAGGCAGGTGCTCTGTACTTCAATATCCTATTTTTACGTGATCTGCCTCAGCGCCATATTCCTGGTGACAATGTTAATGCTTACGTTCCGGTTTCTTCAAATGGAGAATCCTCTGCGCTACTCAGATCCAGTTCTCAAGTCTCGCAACAAGGACTTTGAGGCACAGGTAAGCTACATCTGCAATCTGTTTAAACCTCGACTTAGCTGACAGTGCGTCTTTTGGAGTTCAACCCATGTGTAGTGTATTTCCTGCCCATGATGCCTTCGAAAAGGCGACCATTCCGCAGACTTTTGAGTCTAGACGATCACAATGAAGTTGAGGATTTTGCTTGGATGGTTTGAAGATGTAATTTTCGTGACAGTCTTTTAGAAGGCAATGGTGGCTCTTTTGCGAGAAAGCATTAAAATGGATCAAGAAATTATTTCATTCGGACTCAAACCTCTTGTGAACTAGACATATACGCTGTCATCGAGTTGATGTGCGGAGATGCAAACTCTCAACAGCATTTCATAGTCATACATAGCACAGTAAATTATTGGAGCAGTTGTAGAGAAATGTGTCTCCACGTGTCAAGGTGGTCATTCACCTTTTGCTGACAAGAATACCACAGTTATTTTCATTCCAAAGAACCATATCAATGTCTTCTATATTCATTAGTTCCATTTTCACCTAATACTGATTCTCGGCATTTATGCAAAAGGCTACCTCAGGAGCTGAAGACATACCTTCTTTGTTGCGAAAGCTGCGGGATGTTCCAGTAAGTTTTAACTTGTGCTGAATTTAGTAGCTCCTTCCATTATTCAGCATTTCATTTATACATTTGCCTTGAGTTTTTGCGCATGAATTTCAGCTCTGCTTTGGCACTTCCTAGCACGTATCCATAGCTGAGCGGTTTATCTTCGAATACTGTTCCTACCCATTCTTGGATTACTTTTACTTCGTGATGAAGTCATGCAGCTTTATGTAGTTAAAATTTACGGTTGGTGGTTTGAAAATGTGGATGAAAGGACCAGTGGGACGCCTCCGCAGCGCATGTTTGGGATTCTGAAAACGCTGAATATTACTATGGATGCATCAAACCTAGCAAGAACTACTCAAGTAGGTGTCATTCATTCCTTACAGCACTTTTCATTTGTAACAGGACTATAGACTTTGTTCTCGATAACCGTGTGCTGCCCAGGAATATGGCATTCTGTTGACAGCTCTGTAATTGTGATGCAGTCGATCCAAATATGGAAGTTAATGGATATCTTCTAATTGCAGCTAGCGGAGGCCTGAATCAGCAGAGAGTAGGGGTATGTTCTGACATTATATTGCACAGCATGTGATGTCCATGGTTTATCAATTCAAATTATTCAGGTTCAATTCTGTACTTCGAGTGATATAGATGTGCTTCTGATTTTGAGTCCTGTGGGTTGTGATAGTGATTCTACCACTTCCTTTTTCATCTATTTCTGGCCAGTCTCATGTGTCATCTACAACTCATTCAAGTTTTTGTCTCGTCGCTACTTCTTAAATCTGTCCATAATGAACTAGCGTCTGGTCACTGGCGCTGCAGATTACGGATTCTGTGGTGGTTGCTCGGCTCCTGAATGCCACACTTGTTGTTCCGCACTTTGACCATCGATCATACTGGAAGGATCCGAGGTAGAACTCTCATGTTCTCCTGCTGGGGTAACTCGTTAGGTTTACATTTCAATGTTTTGATTATGAGAGTTATCAGATGCTTTCTTTAATATCTTGAGTTGGTCTAGTCCAGTTTAATTCGATATCATCGATGCTGATGACCTAAGTCATGCAATTTGACATTTCTCTGAATGTTGTTAAGTATCAAGCAATCTTGATTCCAAATTGCTTTATCTGATAATTAAAGTTGTGATGGTGTGCTTGAACGGGATTGTGGATGACAGCAATTTTAGTGACATTTTTGATGTGGACTGGTTCATACAATCTGTAGCTCCTGACGTGACAGTGATCAAAGAGCTGCCTCAAACTGTTAGAAAAAGTCTTCCGAAGCAGGTTTATAATCTACGAGTCCCACGTAAGGTCCCAGCATGGTATTATTCACGACGGATTCGGCATCTCCTTAAAAGGAAACATGTAAGGATCTTGCACACTCCTACTAAAGCATATTAATGATCAGCTGTATTATGTTTACGTTATTGTGAACCACTAAGTCGCATTCTTCACTAAGTTTTCGATGGTACTCCTCAGTTTTTCGTAATAAAATCTTAGTTGTAAGTTCAATTCCTGTAAACTATTGTTGCAGGTTCTTCGGCTTACTAAATTTGACTACCGACTGGCGAACGAGCTGGAAACAGACCTTCAAAAGTTGAGATGTCGCACAAACTACAAGGTTTCTCCATCAACTGCATGAATAGTGGCCATAGTTTCTTTTTCAAAAATAGCAGAAAATTGCATTATGGAATTTTGTGCTTAGTACAGACTGAGTTGAAAACCTCCTATGATTTAACCGCTTTCTTTTTCCACAAGCGAAGGATCTGTTGTTGCCATGAAATTTCATTGAAATTCAATTAACTTTTTCTAATTCCTGGAGAAAAATGAGTTGGTGTCGGCTTCTGACACGTCTTATGCTCTTTCCAGGCACTGAGGTTCACGAAATCTCTTCAAGACATAGGACAAGTGCTTGTTGACAGGATGAGGGCTAAGGGTAGGCGATATATTGCATTGCATTTAAGGTCTGGATTAAACCGTCTTACATCATACGGTAGCAATTCTTGACATCACATGGGTTGTTTTAATTTATTTCATTGTTTAGTATTTTTCATATCAGCAAGCTACCAAATGAAAAAGGTCTAAATTTAGCACCTCGTTCTTTGTTCTCTATGTTCTCATTGTGCAGAGAGACTTGGCCGAAATTCTCAGTGAATCCTGGACATGTCATCTTTCTCAAGTGGTTCTGAATGCCGAGTTTGTATTAATCTCTATCGATCACCTCTTTTTGCAGATTTGAATCTGATATGCTAGCTTTTTCGGGATGCTATTACGGTGGCGGTGAGAGAGAGAGACGGGATTTAGGCTCCATCCGCAAGCGTTGGAAGTCACTACGTGTAAGGCATCTACTGCAAAGTTGAGTATCGTTTCTGTAGTTGGCTGATTGAGGATCTTGTTTCGAGTGAAATCAGGGTTCTGTTGTTGTGATTTTGAAATCAAATATATTAGCGAATCTTTGTCTGGTTTGATTTTCAATCAATTTTTAGTTTTAGGGGCTTTCGTGTTTGCTGCTTTTTCTTGCTTCCGCAATGTAGTTTTCTAGATACTATTAGACAAGTGGCAAATGGTTTCATATTCATGATGGTATATAGTAATATATTTGTTGGGGAAAGATTTGTTACTTGGAAGTCTTGAGTGATTCTTCTGCTACTTGGAAGCCAGAATATGATGTTGAAGTTGTTTTTGTTGTTCACTCGTTAAATTTGCAGCTTCAAAACCCTGAGAGAGAAAGACGCCTCGGGAAATGCCCTCTGACTCCAGAAGAAGTTGGCATCATGCTCCGTGCACTAGGTTATGGGAATAACACATATTTGTATGTGGCATCTGGTGATGTTTACAATGGAGAAGCCTCTTTGGCACCTCTAAAAGCTTTGTTTCCAAACTTCTATACTAAAGAGCTTTTAGCAAATCAGGTGGAGTTGACACCTTTTGCTAACTTCTCGTCACGAATGGCTGCAATAGACTATATCGTCTGTTCAAGAAGTGATGTGTTTGTGGCCAACAATAATGGGAATATGGTTCGGATTTTGGCGGGTGAAAGGTATCTAGGCTCAGCTTAGTTAAGCGTTAGTCATCACTTTTGATTTGATGCATGGAATCAACTTGTGCATTCCCGAATCGTCTGTTTCTTAGCACCATTTTTTTTGTGGATTTGAGTACGTATTTTTGAAGTTATGAGTTTCTATTTTCATTAGTATCTAAACAGGTTATTTTTGCTGCTATGGTGTCTTATGCAGACGTTTCAATGGCCACAAGCGAACTATCAGACCCAATGTCAGGAAGTTGGGAGTGCTTTTTTCTGCCAGGCATAATATGTCCTGGGAAGATTTTGCCAAGAGCGTGAGACATCATCAAAAGGGTTTCATAGGTGACCCTATGGAGGTTAGTATTGAAGAGTTATAAGTATTTTATCAAAACCTTTCTACGTGTCATGAGAACCATCGTACCTTCAACTGATCTCTATGTGTTGTATTGTTCTGAAGTGACTTCAATCTCTTTGTTTGTTCAAAGCTAATGCGTAGCGTGTGTTGGGGTGCCCTCACCCAAGGCAAAATACTTCTTTATCGTCCTGCACTCAGATAGCAAGTGGAAGCTTCTCTAACGGATCAATGTTTTGTATCAAAGGGGATTAAATTTGTTCAGAGTAGCCTCTGATTATACATCCATTCCTCGTTGCGAACTGCAGGTTAAACCTGGTCGTGGTGGGTTCCACGACAACCCTGCAGCTTGTATATGTGAGGTTCCGGAAGCAAATGAGACGCTGCGGATTTGGCGGGAGCAGCACGTTCAGAGGCCCAAAGAAAAGGAATTGCAAGCCCAATCTGAAGTGGGTTCAAGTCTAGTTATACCACTTGAAGACAGAAGTGATTTAATGGAAGAGTTCAATGACTTGAGAGGAGTGCGCCTAAGTAGTGACACGGAGGCAGCTGAGGAGCTACCTCTGAAAGACGAAGTTGCTGATGAAGAGGAGAATACCGACGGAGAAACCGAGGGAGAAGCTGAAGGTGACGATGATGGCGACAATTACTAAACACCACTTCGAAACGAATTGGTGAGACACGCTTAACTGTGGTTTTTTAGACTTTCTAGGTTCGTGCAAGGGTGCATGGAGCCATCACAAGGCCCTCAATTGCAGCTGGTAACAAGTTTTGGATCAACTTCAAGTTTGAAACTTATTAGACACAGACATCACCCAGCTTCTTTCCCCATGGTTTTCCAATTCATTCATTCTAGTTTGAATAACAAGCTCAGATCGCATATCTTTGATCGCTAGGTTGATTACCAAAACAAACAGCACCTCCGTATTTTTTGTTGGTGTTATTCACTGAAGTTGAAGGTGATTGGTAAGTCGATGCAGGTGCATAGGCTTGAGCTTCACCTCAAGGAGTCCACATGGGTATTATAATGTGATCACCTGGGTTAGGATTTCAGTTAGCCTTGAATGCATTTGGTCGAAGGCTATTTGCTCCTGGTTAACGCTTTAAGTGGATGGGTTGCTGGGGAATAGCTTGGAAGCCCCTCTCATCACCACATGTAATCTTCAACTTTCTGTACTAATAACTGAAACAAACTACTTTTGAATTGAAGAAAAATTGCACATTAAGGCACATGTTGCAGTGTTACACCCATCAAGCAGTTCGTTTGTTTTTGGTTTTTCTGGTACGCACTCATACACACAGGAATATTAAACATAGAAACAAAACAACCCTCTTCAACTATGATATATTTAAGAGAAAAGATTCATATTGTATCAACTTCAATTTGTGCGACCTTTCGTATTTGTGTTCATCGATACACAAATTTAGTCTTGCATTTTTTTTTATCTACATTGTAATGGTTGCTTCTTAATTTTATGATAAAAAACAGAGAATTTTGAGGAAATTTTCTTGTGATTGTCAAACTATTTAGCTTATACAAAAATTGCATTTTCCCTTATTGACAAATTTCTAGTTACTAATTAATCCATATTTCAGCGCAAGATGAACCTAAAACTAAATCAAGATGGATTTAAATTCAGTATAATATATCTAAACCCAAAATTTCAAAACATAGGTTAGAATACATTTATTTAATATAAGAAGATAAATTTCTTGTTTGTGCTGTAATAATGCAAAATCACAAGAATTGCTTGGATTTAGCAGTTTGCACAAACAAATGCAAGTATAAAAATTATAGCTGTAACTTTCAAAATTACAAATAAAGAAAATATTAATAAAAAAGTATAATTGATAAGATGCATATATATTTTTTTTAATATCAAATAATCTCTATGTTTAAAGTTACTTCTTCTTCTTCTTTATTTTCCTGACCTAGAAGCATCTACATCCACTGAGCTTGGCCAAATTGAGATGTGCCCACTTCACTTCATCTTTATGAGACCATGACTCAATATATATATATATATATATTTTTTTTTTTTCATTTTTTTTTTTTTTTTTTTTAATTTTAGATTTGCTAGTTTTGGCACTGTTGGAAATGCTAGAAGCCATTTTCTTGGATCACAACTCACACCCTCCAGTTTATAAATATGTAATCGAGTTCAAATTTTCATCCTTCTTTATATATATATATATATATATATATATATATATGTTCACAGTGTTTCCTTGTTATAATATCATTCATTGCAAGAAAAAGAATTAACTGTTAGAGGTGGCTCATTGAAGACAAAAAAAAACCATTCTTGTCAAGGCCCTTGATTATGTTATCCTTAGTGGCCATATGGCCTTGCTTCACCCAATCGTGTATGATTTTGTAACCCTACCAGTCACTTTACTTGAGTCTCGAGTATTTTGTCACCTGTACCCAACTACCCCTCCAGGTTAGCAGCTTTCCATTCACCCTCGCTTAGTAGCTAAGTCAGACGATCCTACCTCTTTCTTAGCGTCTTGGACCCTAGCGCCGACATCTATCCTCCGACACCCGGGACCAAGGTTACTTCTTGGTGAGAGGGGCTTCAACTTTACCCCCTCCCAGTGTTAGTCGTCCTAGAGTGCCTTTGCGCTCTGGCCAACACCCTATCCGTATTTGGAGCCAATCCAAGCATCTTGTGACATCCTTATGCCACGGCGGGGCCAAGGAAGTCCTCATGTGCCTTAAGCTCATGCGACCTCCCCAAGTCATCATCTCCAAGTGCCACTCCGAGTCACCTAGGTGACTTGTTCTTCTTTATGGGTCTTACTCACAATCACTACCTTATAGTGATTCCTTTTACGTGAGTCATCCCTTAGCCCACACTTTAGGAAGGTGACATTCTCCCTCACTTTAAACGTTAATGTCTGCATTAACATTGGTGTGTTAAGTCTCTTATTTATAATCCTTTACAATGGACTTTTTGTTCTTGTGAAGTTGCCACACTTCACTTGGCGCTTATACCTTTTTTGTGTGTGTGTGTGTGTGTGGAAGAATCATTGTTTGTCACTTCTTCCCCTTTTTCTTCTTTCAGTTCCATTAGCTTTGTTTCCCTTCCAAAGCCCTGATCCAACCAGGTGTGCAATGAGCGATTGTCGACTCTCAGGTCTGCACCAAGACTCACCTTGCCTTGGTTCTTGTATTCCTTTCGGACGCAAGGAGCAACTCTCATGCATAGTTTTCACTAATCACAAGTTAATCCCAATAAGGCCGGATTCACAATCTCACCCCCGTCTCGAGTGAGGTCTCTTACTTTACTTCGAGAGCTGACTTAGCGGCACGCCTCCTTGCGGTAACTTCCACTAACTTCACTCTTCTACTCAACCACATGTCCAACCAAGATATTGGTTTCACATTATTAGCTTTCTTACTTATATTGTTGTGTTGATGAGTGGCTTGTTTTCTCCCACTTTGAGAGAACAATGTCTTCATCGTTTCGGAGTCTTTCTCTTAATATCTCGCTTCTCATTGTTAGTACCACACATTCTCACTTCATAGGCCGCGATGAGTGATTTCACATGCTTGAGGTAACTGGCTGATATCCATTGGTATTCCATCATTAGAAACCCTTCAAAGGTGCATTGATATACTAGACCTTGTTTCAATCTTTTCTTACCTACTATTCCATTAACTTGTCCCATTTTCTTGTCCCAAACTTTGTATGAAGGCTCTGGCCTTAATACTTGCTCTGGGTGGAGCTCGTCCTTATTCGGTGTGAATTTCTTCAATACTGATACATGGAATACATGGTGGAACCTGCCCTTCTTTGGAATATCAATAAGGTATACATCCTTATGCAACACCTTGATCACCTTGTAAGGTCCTGCCCATCTTTGTACCCACTTGTATGACAAAGAATTGAGAATCGATAAGTTTGTGGTATTTAATCATATCATGTCTCCTACTTGGTGCACAACATTGCATCGGTGCTTATCCGCCACTTGCTTTTATTTCTTCTGAGTGCACTCCAGAAAGTAGGTTGCCCTCTTCTATATGTGTTCTCTTTTGGAGACTCACATTGCCGCTTCCTTAGAAAAGAATGTGGATGAGAAATCCTCATCCTTCTTTGCTAATACTAGGTTAGTAGGCTTTAATGCATCAAACTCATGAGCCACTTTGAATGGGCTCATGCCAATACTTGTTGAGTAGGTGGTGTTGTAGCAAAATTCAACTTACGATAAAACATCCATCTAGTCTCCGTGATCTGTCGCTATATAGTTTCTCAGGTACATGTTGAGAATAGCGTTCATGCGTTCGGTTTGATCATCTCCTTGAGGATGGAATGTAGTTGTCAAAATGAGCTTGGTTCCTGACCTCCTCATTAAGTACTGCCAAATGGTAGTCAAGAACTCAGCATCTCAATTGCTCACTATGTTCTCTAGATATCCCATTTTGCATATCCTGTGTTTATAGAAGAGTCACGCTGTGACTTCACTGCCATCGCCCTACTTTGTTGGGATGAACCTTGCTTGCTTGCTAAACCTATCAACCACCACAAAGATGACATCATATCGTTGCACTATTGATAAGGATGTCATCAAGTCCATTGAAAGACACTTATATGGTGCTTTCGGGATGGGTAGAGGGTTTATCAATCCCATTGTCTTTTGAGTGCTAGCCTTATTCATTTGTCATTTGGCACAAAAAGAGACATATTTCTCCACATCTCCTTTGAGATTCGGCCAATAATAACTTTTGGACAACTCCTTAGTTGTCACTAGTACTCCACAGTGTCCCGCTTTGAGCATATTGTGGAACTCCCTCATCATTTTCTTCTTTAGGTTCCCTTCGGGAAGATATAATCTACTTTGCTTGTAATAGATCAGCTCATTGACTCTTTTGACTATCTTCAGTCTAGGGAACTTAGAAGACAATGCCTTCTTTGAGACTAGCTTGTAGTCAAACATCTTGTTTAACTCAATAGCTTCTTCATCCTCTTCGTATATGTCTTTGACTTCCATCTCCAAAGGAGTGTCATTCTTGCTTGAGGTCAAGGCTAACAAGGTCATGAGTTCCTCCTTCCTACTCAATGCATCTGGCACTAAGTTTTCACATCTCGGTTTGTGAATGAGGACTACATTCATAGAGACTATCACATCATACCACCTTAGTTCTTTAGGCTTGTGCTTTAGTCTCAAAATATTTGAATGATATATTGTTAGTAAAGACCTTTGTCTCTCTGCCACCCAAATAATGTCTCCATACTTCAAGGCAATGGACAACTGCAAAGAGTTCCTTCTCGTAGGTGGGCCACCTTAGTTGGCTACCCATGAGTTTTCTACTCTCATATGCAATGGGCCTTCCCTTTTGCATCAACACTCTTCCAATTGCAAAACCACTAGCATCCGTGTGCACTTCAAAATCCTTGTCAAAGTTTGGATACCTTAGGACTTCAAAAAATCAAATGCCAATGTTTATTACCTATCAATTAGTAAGAGTCAATGAAATTAGATTAATTATTAGAAATCAAAAGGTTAGTAGCTATATATCGTGAAACAAAATTGCTTCCCAAAGTTATAATTAATTATTGTGAGTTATTATTATTTTTTTTGGAAGGGGGGTTACTCAATGAAGGGAACACTATATATGTGCAAAGTAAAAATGAGGTCAACTCACCCTGGTGTATAACTATGCTAAATATACATGTATATGTATACAAAGTAAAAATGAGCTCAACTCTTGTCTTTCATTTGTTCTTCTGTATATACATAAATAGACATGAACGTTGAGTAAAGCGATCAAGGAAGGCATCCATCAATGTCCTTGATGTGCTGTAATTTCGTAGACATAATGTTCCATGCACGTACTTGATGAATGTCGATGGTCTGATCGGAGGATTGAAGGACGTTAACAGAGCACGAGGGTGCAACAGTGAACGACATTGGAAGACTTCAGAGTTTGGCACAAACCTGATTCAAACCCACGAGACTGGGGCATGCTATGCACAGAAAACCACATTAGTTTCTCAAATTTTGAAAAGAAGCTTTCCAGGACTCCAAGGGGCAAGCAAGATTATGGTCCTCCGCCATTTAGACATACATCGCTAAGGTGTGCGTCAATTGAAAATCGAGTCACATTACAAAAATGACTTCTTTATACGGCAGTATGAGTGGCAGATTGCCACACAAAGCGGTAAAGAAGACAAGTTCAATCCAAAAACTTGTAAAAGTTGCCACGTCTACTACAGTTCAAGCAGAAGCAGCATGCCATGCACACTCGCGACACAGATTCCTACGCTTCAGCGGGGTTAAGTAAATTGGAGCCTTCAGAAGCCGATGAGCCCAAACACAATAATTGTGTGATGTCGAAGTTCCCAGAAAAAAGACCATTGCCATTTTTTCGTGCATTCTCCAAATTGAGGGAGAAAAAGCGACGGAGCTATGTACAAACTAGGGTAGCTCTAAAACTCCTGCGAGATGCTTCCACCAATGTCCTTGCCGCCCTTACCAGTCTTCTTCGGCAATAGAATTGTGTGAATGTTGGGCAGGACACCACCGGCGGCAATTGTGACAGTGCCCAACAACTTGCTTAACTCCTCGTCGTTTCTCACTGCCAGCTGGATGTGGCGGGGTACAATGCGATTCTTCTTGTTATCTCTGGCGGCATTTCCTGCTAATTCAAGTACCTGCACAAATGTATGGATCGCCAGAAACAGACCACGAACAAACTGAAACCACTTAGCCGCTTTTCAGGCGCAGTGCTGCTCGCGAAGTGGAGACAGAAGCTTAGCAGACACAACAAGAGGATGTAAATGGATTTCTGGATAACCTAATTCACGTAACGGTGAAAGGCCTGACACTAATCTCAGTAGCTCATTGTAGTTGACATAGTGTCATCGAGGAATCAAAGATCTTATAACAGCAACGTAAGTGCAGAAACATCGTTCAATGTGAATATATCGCAAAGACGTAACAGCGACACTCAGCGCAACAAGTGCTCCAAATCCCACCCGTAGTTACCGTTAAACGATCGTGCACTTGTTTCGTTTGTCTGTCATGATGAAAGTAAATAAGACTGTACAAGATGGACATATTCTACAAAACGCTAATGGGAATGGTGCAAGTCCAGAATTGAAAAAGAATGATCACCTCGGCCGCTAAATATTCCAGCACTGCGGCTAGGTAGACAGGTGCACCAGCTCCCACACGTTCGGCGTATTTACCAGCCTTCAAAAACCTAGCAATTCTTCCTACCGGAAATTGAAGACCGGCCTTCTGTGACCGAGAAGTAGATTTCGAGGCCTTAGACTTCCCGCGGCCTCCGGCGGTTGCAGCTGGAGAACTCATGGTTGCAAATGGCACCCACACACTTTCACGGACAAATATATTTGAAGGCGCCTCTCTGCTCAAGACAATCCGGTTCAAAAATTAGTACAACAATGCTATGCAACTTAGTCAACCCACTTCGATCACAAGAAAAGCACGACATACTGCTCGTCTTCAATCAGACCATGAGATATGCTAACCAGACAGGGCATAAACGACATCTGAGGCACCAATCAAAGGGAAACGGAAAGCTTATTACGTGTGAGGTTCTCAGGCAGCGAAAGAATGCCAGTTCCAAGAAATGTAAGTGATTTTTTACTATTCCACGCCACAAGCTCACAGACATTTCACAGAAACTAACACTCACTTCCAGCATGAACAGGAAGCTAGTACTGACGGCAGGCACCAGGCCGTGCGAACTATGCATCATCCTCCAACATACCTTATCAAACACACACGTATAACAAGAACCGACTCTTCGCATTCACACATGCAAATTCATCCCCACAAAAAAACAATTGCACTACCCTAAACCCAATTCAAACCAGCCACAATAGATTTCCACACATCAATGACAACAGAGATCTCGGACCATGCACTTGTTAGAATGAGCTCTTCGAAAACAACTCCCCAAAATTGATCGAGAAACAATTTACTTCAAAACAAACACAAAAAAAACTGAGACGGGCTGGCAGGACACACCTCCAGAAGGAAATCCAAGAGCTGCAAATCCTATTAAGTCATATCAAAATCATTGTCTCTGACACCACGAAACTAACATAAACAACACAAAAGATTCGAAATGGGAAAGGTAAATGGGAGGACGCACCTTCGGTGTTGACGAAGAAAGGGTGCAGCGAAGGCAGCAAGAGAGAGATGGACAGCAGAAAGACGTTGGGACTATAAAGTATGTGGGGGGGGGGGGGGGGGGGGGGGGCTACCAGGCCACAACTGGAGGGTGAATAAGGTTACCTCAGTGTTCGTTACGTGTCATCCAACATGGCTAGCTCCTTCATCTCAGTCAGTGTGAGTTGTCAGTTGGGGCAGATTTAGGGCTTGTAGGTGCTGGAACCCCGGAGAAGCTCGGAAATCCAATGCAAAAATGATATGCTTCGGGGAAGTGAACTGGGCCTGTAGAACCAGATGAATATTATCGCATGGTCTGTGACTAAGGGCGCGGTTCATGTGCCCAGTTCCCACGGTATCAGTGGGGTGAATTGCTGATCGACAACTCGGAACGGATGCTTTACGCAAACTGCGAAAAATTCGAGTGGTGCTGGACAAAGAGAGCTCACTACAGATTACTGGCACGCCTAGAAATTTTTGTATTGGCGAGCGTGAGGGGAAGCGATTAGTTCGGCCTGGATTACTATTGGATTTTCGTCGCTGGGTTTTTGTGATGGTGTTTTAGTTTGCGGAGGTGAGTCTTGTCGCTTCTTGCCAGAGGATTTCATTCTGATCTCGGTTTGTTGGAGAGTGTAGCTGGGGAGAAACAGTCGACTTCATGTACAAACGCAGTCATTTGATTGTTTTCACCTTGCTGACGATGAGACGGTCTTTTTCTTTTTCTGTCTCGCATCTCTTTTCGGGAGGTGTAGATCATGGGAATTCGAGTAGCTTATCTTCGTGAAACGTGCCTGAGCCTACATAAAACACAAGGGATTTGAGATTTGAGGGCAAACCCGTGTAACCTGGCGTATCTTGAGGGTCCCGAATCTCACTTCCTTTGCGTTCTATTAACATGTGATTAAGCGTGTAGGGCGCCTAGAGATCTGAGGGATTCTCCTCGGAGTCTAGTTTACTAGTTTTCTTGTCAGCGTCTCGGTTGTGGCAGGTAACGTTAGTACGCGTTAACATGTGTCTTTCGGTGTCTAGAGAAGGGAATAAGGATAATAGGGTTTTGGAGATAAGGCCTTGGTTTAGGAGTTGCGACCATCTGCAAATTGTCAATGATGAAAATAATCGCGAATATAATGATTCTGACAAATACTTTTTCCTTTTGATCACTTGTAATTTTCGTACCTTGATAGTAGGAGAATTGAATGAGTGAAAAAGTTTGTAATCATGCTTGTGTTCCTGTTCCCTTCCTCAAACAAGTTACCCTGGACTGATATGAGTATATAGACATTTTCAATGCTCTTTTCGAGTACTAGGTTCGCGAGTGCGTCAATTAAGTAATCTATTTCTGCAAGGTGCGACTCCTTTTACAAATGGAGATTGCCATTTACCTCAAATAGTTTCTGACGCTTGCTTTGTATGCCGAATGTGGCTTTCAGATTGTAGGAGTTGATGACAGACGGCGTATATGGGACTGTTTTATTCTCTCACAGCATTCCTATGTTCAGGAAATTGACAGTCCGACTTGGATGTCAGTGTGATTCCATCGATCCCACACCTTGGTGTGCCAATGGGTCAGTTAGATGGAATGCAACAAGAGGAGGGAGGTCCTGTGGCCTTGCTTAGACTTCATAACTGGGCCAGTACACCTCTTCCTATTTCCCTCTTCAATTTTGGTGCTCTTTCATCCTCCCGAGCACGCCTTGCTCTTCTCTCCCACAAACAGCAGGCTGTAATTGTACCTCTCGTTCCCAGAAAACATGAAGAAGCTGCGACGTGCTCAGAATCTTTGGTTTCCTCACCGCTGCGCAGCTTGGCATCCCCAGCATCCACATCCATTGGATCCTCTGAAGTTTATTCTGCAGGGGCACAGATCGAAGCTCCTTCCACTCCCCATCATTCATTGCGTTCCGAGAGCCATGAATCAAGGACCACTCCGTCTTCCGAGTTTCGGTTTTCTTTAGGACCACAATTCACACCCTATGGAACTCCTGCATTTGTTCCCAGGCGCCTGTCCAGTACATTTCATGGAAACTCCGTTGTCCAACCTCATCCAGCCACTCCTTACTTCACTCCATCTGCTTCCACTCCTCTTTGTACTTCCTCCCCGACGTCGTTACAACAGGCCTCAGCGCCAAGCTTTGTTGTGAAGTCCAACGGAGCAACTAAGCTATCTTCTTCTTTTAGTATAATTGATGGTATTGACTGCTTCGCATGGGCATGCTGCGGGGACGAGTCTGCTGCGAATTTAGAAGCTAGACCCTTCAACGACATACTTTTTACAGCAGGGAGAGATGGTTTGGTACTTCATGCTTTCCGCAATTATGATGGTGAGGGAGTTAGCACGGTGGACCACACATCAGATAATGGTGGACAATTGCGACTGGACTCGAGGGAGACTGAAGATGGTGACAAGAAGGGTAAATGGCGGAATTGGAAAGAGCAGGAAGAAATCAAAGACTCTGTTGATGATCGTGGCAAAAGAAAACTATGCTTTCGAGACGATAACAATACTAATACAGATGATTTAAGCAGCGAAGGAGTGGTACCGAGCGTTGGCATAGTTGGCGGGTCTTCATTTCAGTCCTTCATCGTAAATGGGCAACTCGAGCCTTTGAAGGACGAGTTGCATATGGAGTTTCTCAAACATCAACCTTGGCCTGCATTAGCCGAGTGTATCTCATTCTCCATGTCCTATTCATCTCCTTCCTTTTCACTCCTTAGTAAGTTTGCACAAGCAACCACCCAAAGTGCACAGGTTCCAGGAGAGTCTGGCTGTAATACACCAGAGCAGGATTTACAGATTGTAAGGTTGCTGTCCAGTCCTATCCAGAACCTTGTAGCACTTATACTGGTGGAGAAGTCTGCAGTGCATGTTCCAGAAGACGAAATAGTGGCAGGGGAAAAACTTACAGTTGGATCAACAACGAGGGAATTCAAATCTCTTGATGATTTTAGTGCTGTGATTACAGGGGTTTATTGTCAGGAATTGAAGGTCCTTTCGCGCATCCTTTCCCATGACACAAGAGCAGGGCTCACGAGAAATGTACCATGGACAGATTTTCAGCTATCCGACAGTGTTTTTGTAGCCTTGAAAGAAGATGGAATGGTTTTTTTGTGGAATTTATTTGCAGGAACTTTTATTACGAAAATTGATATCCCGCAATTCTGTAGAGTAGATTTAAAGATCGAACACGGGAAGAAGTCTTTTGAGACGCCATTTGGCGAAGACCATGAATTTAAGCATGCCACGAGTGAGGGCGTTGCACCTCAAGAGACTCTCGAGGGTTTAACGACAACTGTTGGAGGTTCTGATGTTGGAGCCAAGAACCGGTTCTACCAAGTTACGGTAACTGCTGACTCTTCATTGTTAGCAATTAGTGATGCTAATGGGATTATATCTTTAGTCTCTATTGATGATTACTTTGCAAGCGATACGTTCATTTCGTCAGAAACTCCTGGGAATCGAGGTGCTGAGTGCCACGCTACGAAGCCATTGACCATTTATGAAGTAGCGGGATCAGATATAGGTGGCGCAAATCATGGAAGTGCTATTCCATACCGAAATTGGAATAATTGGTCATTTGAGGGTGGAAATTCTGGCACTGGCACGTCTTTCAAGCATGAGGCATGTCACTCGTCTTTGCCTACCTTTGTGAAAAACAGCTTTAGCAACTGTGCTCTGGGAGCAAGTGGTTTTACATCCAGGGACCGTGTCACCCAATACCAGATTCGAGGATTAGGCCTGGTCCATACACAATCGCAGCCTCTGAGAAGGTTATTCGTGCCCAACGAGCCTTCGAGGGGATTGCTTGGGATGGCTTTGAGTCCATACAGCATCACGTGTGCTGTACTTAACACTTTCGACAAGTTCATTTTTTCTCAGCATGGATTGCGCATTAAACATGGACTATTAGATGAGTCTCAAATGAACGACAATGAAGGCTTCTCTAAGTTTCAAAGTGAATTCTCCTTAGGCGACGTTTTGATGTTCAGCTCTCAAGGGTGTTTATATATTATATCTCAAACAGGGCTACATGTAGTTCTTCCTCCTGTGGCAAGTCAACAACATCAATTGCCAGGTACTAAGTGGCGAAGTGGAATAGGAATGAAAAATGGGTCAAGGAAATGGGACTGTTTGCTGCCTCTAGAAAGCCTCAAACCCGTTCCTCGGCAGTGGCAGACAGAAGTGTTGGACAGGTGCCTTGTCTTCAACAGCGTGAAGGAGGCAGAACAATTGTGCTTGGAGAACGGTGAGCATCTCAATACGACTAACTAAGCTGCTTGAGCCTGTGATATTGTGGTTTATTTTATACTGCTTGTTAGGATTACTGTGTGAATCCCATTTGGTTTGTTTACATGTTTCGATGTAGTATTCGTTTAATTCTTCTTATTCCACCACCGTGTGAAATCCAACAGCCTTTGAATGAAGGTAGTTTTAGTCTGGAAGGACATTTAACCTAGAACTTTTGTACCACGTTCCATCTAATCATTTTTAAAGGCTTATGTTTTAACACTAATCGAAACTGCTGTACTGAGATTGTTGTTGGATCCCTATAAGCGGGCATATAAGTAATTGGATACAAGGAGTTTCATTTTGACCTATTGGAACACAGTCTTTTCCATTGTGAATTTACAAGTAATATGTAATATCGGAGCACCGATGGACTAAATGGTGATGTCACCACAAGTCTAAGCTGAAAACTGTTGGCTAGAATGTGAACAAATTAGGAAGTCATGAATTCACTACCTCTGTGGATACTTATTTTGCTCGAGCTGATCTCTGACCCTGCAAACTTTTGAACTCCCAGCTAGACTAGGGAGAACTTGCAATTTCATTTGAAACTCATTTTTCGTTATGAGATCTGCTTTCATACTCCTCGATCCACCTGGTCTTAATTGAATCAACTTTTTGAATCTTTAACCACAAAGTTCGTGTTTTGTAGGATGGAGCATACAGCTTATGAGGTTTCGGAGATTGCAACTTGCTCTGGACTATGTTCAAGTGGATGAAGTAGAGGAGTAAGAATCTTCCTCTTTTGAAATGTTCATTATTCCAGTTTCTATGAAATGAAATGTCCGATCATCTTGATACTGTTTGACGCGTGTCCCCTCTTCTTTACTTTCTTGTTCTACCTCTCCGATGCTGTTACTTTTCTATTACATTGATCAGAAAGTCTGAGTTTCTTGTCTTCTGTCCTGGGAAATGCTGTCTCGTAAGTTCACCCCGGTAAGCAATGGAATATCGTTAGTCTGTGAGCAGTCGCGGTTCTCTAGTAGCTTAACTAGTTCTCAAAATGTGTGATCCAGGTCGTTGGAGGCTCTTGTGCAGGTTGGGGTTGCGGAAGCGGGAATACCACAGGTGCTACTTGCTGCTATTGAACTTATAGCTAATTCTTTTGGATCCGACAACGAGCTTGCCCAAGCCTGCAGGTGTTCTACTTTTCCTCTGACTCCCAATCTACATATCCTTAACTCTTTATTTTAACAACTAAACTGCGTTGGTCAGATAATCTGTGTCCTTGCTGTTGGAGGTCTAGTGGATTAATTTAGTTCATGGAATAAACCTCCCACCTATGTCTATCTTCCTGAAAAGGAAATAGGAATGCATTTAGTTCTTTGTGAAAGGGTAATGTTTATGAAGGGATAGTCTGTTTCAGGGCTGCCAGGTCCATTGTTCAACTTAAGCTTCATTCAAACTAACACCTTTTTCAAACCGTGTTGGGAGTACTTTTTATCCTAACAATTACTGGAAGTAGCTTGCTGAGTTGAGCTGTGATTATTGCAGGCTTCTTGAATTGGCAGCTAGATTCTCAACAAGGCTTATTCGATCTCATGGGGTTTGGGAGCGACAACGCTCCAGGTCTAGTAAAACAATAGTTCCTGCGTTGTCTGCACGATTCCCACCCAAGAACCTGTCTAATCTCAAGCCTGTAGATCATGTTAACGAACTTTCTCGACTGCTTGAGGTGATTCGAAGTGTACAGGGGCGATTACAGTCTAAACGCAATGGACCAAGTAGAAGCGTTAAGGTATCTTTTCTTTCCTTCATCGTCATTTGAAGCTCTAGGAACGTGCAAGAAATCGAAAGTATTGGACGTTTCTGAGTCTTAAACAGTGCAACGAACCCTCTGATATTAAACTAAGTGCTTCTGCGAAGTGTCTTTTAATCACTGCCTATATTACGTGTGTTATTAGGTATCTAGATTATTTGATTTTGTAAAAACGTTAATATAACGAGACAATATACCTAAAGTACTACTCTTTGGAATGTCTCGTAACGGTTCATCCTTCACACTATCTTAGTGCGGTTGTTTTGATGAATACGATTCCTATGTTCTTCAACAACCAGGGTGCTGGCTTGTTTTTGTGCTTGAACAGGCGGATGCGAGCAATGAAGCAGTTGCATCATCAGGAGATTTGCTTAGCAAAACAAAGCCAATCATTGAACTCCCCCCTGAAAATGCTGTGCAAAATGCTGAACTAGAGAATGTGCTTATCAATAAGGAGGAGCAACCTAAAATGCTTCTAGCCTCTGAAGATAGTGTCACTTCAGGTGCTTTAGTGCCGACAGGAATACTAGTTGGTTCTGGGAGTTCTTGGGGTGCCCCTACTGGTGGTTCCTTTGATGGAAAGATTAAACGAGGATCAGCGCCTGAAAGTGCTGGGGACATGTTTGCACGCTGGGAGAGTGAGGACGTGGATGCTGAAATTGTTGTACGAGATGCTTTACGCGCTGGACGTGTTCCTCTGGCTGTTGTACAGCTACATAAAATCCGGTCTAGGGAATATTTGAGTGGTTCTCATACCCAGCGGCCCCAGATGATTGATGTGTTTCAGGATGTTCAGGGAATCGGGCGAGGAATCGTGTACGAGTTGTTGTGCAAGGTAAACGTGTCATTAGTAGCCTGAAACCATATGATAGTGCATCATTACTCATGTTTGGGGACTTGTTTTACACAATGTGAAGCATCAATTGCTCATTTATGGCTTTTTCTGTTTCAGGGTAAAACAGCTCTGGCAATGGCAGCTTTGCGAAGGCTGGGTGAGGAGATTGACGTTGCTCTCTATGAGCTAGCATTCGGAACTGTTAGGCGAGGTCTTCGGAAGCAAATGAGGGCAGAGTTGCGGCGCAGTTCTAATCGTTTGGGTTCTCGGGACTCTCAACTCCTCGAAATCGTTGCATATTTAGAGGTAGCAGAGTGCTGTATCTTCTTAATTTATTGAATTTTTCTTGTCTCGCCCCGAAGTTGGTAGGTGTTATACGTTCAAGTGGTAAGGTTTCGAGATTTTTGGCATGATTTATTTGTTCTGACCATTATCTGGTTGAACGTGCTTGGCTGAAGATAGTGGCCTTTGTCTTGACAGGATCTCTATCCTATCAGCAGTTTTCGCAGCTCGTACCGCAGTAAGAAGATAAAATCTTCTAGCCATACTGTAGAGGTGCCTTCGTCAAATGAAGACGATGATCAATCATTACAATTAAGGTGCGGCAGTGGATTGGTTAGCCCATTTATCCTACGGTGTGGGGAGGTAGATGGAGTGGTCCTGGGGTCGTGGAATTATGCAGCTCCTCCTGAAGTTTCAGATGGTGCAGATGGGAATCAAGCAAACCCAGCTGCGGGGTACCTGGTAACGGCTGCTGTGTGGTTGCACGCTTGGGACGAGGTGACTGTAGACCGGGTAAGTGTTATCTCCTTTTTAAATGGCTCGAACGCTCTGGGATGCTTATAAAGTTTGCGTATTCAATTTCTCAGAAGATGCATTCTGGTGGGTTTCACTCTGCGTTGGTTGTATAACTATCTTTTTTATAAAATTTTCTTAGTTACATCATTGGCGAATGAATGTCGTTAATACGTAGTCATTTTTCCTTTACACAGGGTTTTCTCTGAGAATGTGGGAGGCGTTTTTGCAGGTAATATTGGATCAATCACTTGTCACTGAAGAACATAGATCTTGGGGTGCTCAGCTGGAATACCATGTTGTACACAACGACTGGTCCCAGGTCTCGGCCTTACTAGACGACATCCCTCATTCTGTTCTTGACGATGACGAACTACGAGTGCATCTTGATACAGATGAGGACGTTGAATATCTGCACGATGAATGCAAACATCCGGATCTAGATTTATCTGATGAGCAATCACCAAGAGCACAACATTGTGAAGAAATAATGTGCTGCATACCTAAGGTGCATATTTTGAGTATCAACATGCGGTCCATGTGCAGTGCTTGGTTATGGCACATGATGGAAGTGAAGCTTGCCAGAAGCCAGATATTCTTACGCACACATTGGCAAGGAACTTCTGAACTTGTGTCGTTGATAGCATCTGCCGGATTTCTTTTCCAACGTGGTTCTGGAAAGTCATCCGGCACCACTAGTAAACAACCATCATCTTTGATTGGGGTCCCTAGGAAGGAAACTGTTCACAAAGACACTGTTAAAGCACTGCATGAACTTGTGGTTCGGCATTGTGTGAAGTACTCACTTACCAATCTCTTGGAGCGATATCTGAATTACCACTCCCTAGCTCTCGTTAAAGGGTCCGTGGCTGATATGCAATCTGTTGTGGTAATACCCTAATTTCAATCTCTGCTTGATGTTCTTGAACTTTCTATTTTCTTACTTATACCCGTTAGTCAAATGCAATCAAGTGGCAGACGACATCTAGAATATGTCATTTTCTTTAAAAATAGTTAATGTTCATCTGATAGTGCACCCACTTGAGTGCAGGGGAATTGCAACTGGGCACAGTGGCTCCTTCTTTCACGCTTGAAAGGACGGGAGTACGATGCTTCTGTTGCGAATGCTTTTACTGTCTCTGGAAAAGATTTAACCTCTGGCCATGGGTCAGGAGATGGCGGCGGATTAAAATCTATGATGGGGGAAAGCAGTTTGTTGCAGAATAGAGAAATATTTGCAGTTGCAACCTTTATGTATGGACCCTTGCCTATTCAGAAGTGCTTAGTATTGGACAGTGTCAACAGGGAGGACCTCCGCCCATGGCAGTGTTTGATGGTGGATCTTCAACCTGGGCTTCAAAAATTTCCTACTCTGTACCACACCCTCTTCGCTGCATGTTATGGACACGATGCATGGAGTTTTGTTCGGCCTCTTGGACCCAAAACAGGTATACAGTCAATTAATGGTAGTCATTAAGTTCACAAGAACATAGGATGGCATATCTGCCTGCTTATTTCTAAATTTCTTATCCTCGAGGTGAGATGATTGCATGCAGTTTAGCTTGTATCCTTTTCTTCTTCTGATTCAAACTTTATTTGATGAACGTGAAGGAAGAAGTATGAAGGGTTTGTCTGGTTACTTGGAATGGCGAGAATCTATGTTCAGATCTGCAGCGGACGATACGTCATTGAGAGAATTATTGCCCCGTTGGCTACCAACAAGTGTCCGCCGTCTCCTCCAACTTGCTATTCAGGTCTCTGTTCTTAATGTTTGAGCTGACGCTGTGATCTTAGTCTATTCCTTATTTCGCTTATTTTTAGATAAGCTTAGTTTGAATAACAATTCTACTGCAATTTTGAAAGTCTTTACCAGTAGTGTCACGCTGATAAATGTTATCTATGAATTGCTTCTTCCATTGAAATCAGGGAGCTGTTGGAAAAAGTCATGTGGCTATTTCACAAGGAAATGATACAACACTTGGATCCGTGCCAGACACGGGCCCTAGAGAGCATGCAGCTCGAAGAGTAGGTATGGAGGTGGAAGAAGCCACCGTTTCAAATTGGGAAGAATCTACACAGATGACTATTAAGGGAGAGTTACACGCTGTTTCTCCGGAGGTCAGTTTGCGTTTATCTTGACGAATTGTATGGGTTTATAATGAACTTGATAAACATTGGGCTTTGTTGTGCTTATAAGAAAGGTTTTGATATCCTGATAGTTCTAGTTTTGGATATTTTGTAGCACATTTTGCGGTTGAACGCCCCGTCATTGAAAAAGTTTACTTCATACAAATTATTAGGATTCTAAGTCCCGCATTCAAGTCAATGAAACAAGATGTTTCTTTTTATAGCCTTGCTGAGGTATATAAAAAATGGTTATCTTTTGACACTTCACGGCGAACGTATGTTTTTTCGTTGTCGAAGTTTGAGCAGAACTATTTTTGCGCTTGAAAGCTGATGTATGTGTAAGCACAGCTTCTTCAAAATTAATATAATTTTTTAAAACTTATTAATGTGGTGTTTTCTTTTCTTGGCGCGTAGGAGGCTGGTATGGAGGCTGAGCTTCATCTTCGAAGGGGTCGTCCTCTTGCAGCATTCAACTCGCTTCTTTCCACGCGGCTGCATAACTCAGGCTCCTTCAACTTACAACTAGATCGGCAATCCTTTTATGACCCTCAAAACCTTTTATCAAATCTAACGGAAACTGAAGAATCCATTATTTCTTCGGTACGTTATTTTTTTTCGCAACCTTATGCCATTGAATTGCTAGACTTCTTATGTATATGCATAAAATCTTGCATGTTAATGTCTTTTTAGTCCGGACAGGGAGAGTAGAACTTCAGTCTAATCAACATTCTGTTGATCATCTTACCGAAGTCGTATACTTGATGTTGGATTCCTATATGCCATGGTTTATTCTCGTATTTTGTTTCATAGAAGTGGTTTCTCTAGTGTCTGACCTGAAGTAATACTCGCAGGTACTCCCTCTAGCTATCACAAGTTTTGAGAACATCAATGTGGTGGCCGCTTGTGTAACTTTCATAGAGCTTTGTGGCCTTTCAGCACAACTCCTGCAAGTGGATGTTGCAGTTCTTAGTCGTATATCCTTCTACATTAGAGACCAAGAGCATAAGGACGGTAGCCTGAATCTAGGATCGCAGGAAATTGCAGCTAATGAATATGCTAGAGCTGTTTTGATGAGATCTCTAGTTGAAGGGCTTGCAGAGGAGTACACTAATGCCGGCATCGGAATACTTAACGGCAAAGTAGTGGCGAATACAAGGCCTCGAGAGCCGTTGATGGCTATTTTGCGGCTACTTGAGAAGTCTAGTTTGAATCACGATGGCCTAAAGAAGCTAGAGAGCAATGCCGGAGCTTGGCTCATGAATGGAGTTGGTGATGGTGCTGAGTTAAGAACTGTGCAACGATCGATGAGTTCACGGTGGAGTCTTGTGACAGCTTTCTGTCGTGGACATCAGCTTCCTCTGAGTACAACTTATCTGGCAACAATAGCCAGATACAATGATTGGGTAATCACGTTTTTACTTGCCTTTCACGAGATACACTCTTCATGCCATGTATGCGTGGGACTGTTCTTAAGTAACACCTGCTTAGCGATTGCAAAAGAGCGAGACTGAGTAACATTGTTTTTGGTTTGACAGGTCGGATTTTTAGCAGAGGCTCAGATTGAAAGTTGCCCCCTAGATATCCTTGTTGATGTGGTAAGTTCTCTTCAACTTGCCAGGCTCATGTCAATGTTAAATGGCTTTTCAATCCATTTGCTTGCTCACATAGTCTAAGTTCTTTCTGTGATGGATGGACCTCGCCTCTGAGATCCAATCCTATATTGACTAATCTTTAGATCTGTGATTTCCATGTCTGATTTTTTTTCTTTTTTCTTTTTATCTTTGTTTCATAAGCGTCCGACTTGCTATTTCATTTATCATGGGCAGGCATCCAAAGAATTCGTAGATTTGCGTCTTCGCAGCCACATCTTGACTGTGCTAAAATGCCTACCTACGGCTTCACCAAAACCACCAACAACTTATGGAAACGTTTCGCACTTTTCATCAGGTTTTTGTCCAAACATACGTGGGTCCATGTGACACTCTTAGGGTTCTTATTCTCAACTATGGATGGTTTGGATGTTCTTGTTTCCGTAGTGTGGTGTCTTTCAAGCATTAGAAAATGTTGCCCATTATTTAATTGTTCAATGGCCTGGAATGTATTCGACTTGGATAGGTTAAATTTTTAGCAGGTTTTGCAGGTGAAACGCTGGCTACTTTTGAGAGTGATGCGCCACGAGAGTTATTTTTCATCTTAGCAGAGTGTGAGACAAAAAAACAAGCAGGTCGAGAACTCTTGTGCAGAGCCAAAGTTTTGCGATGGCCACTGCTCGCTATTGTGGCGTCGTGTTTTACTGATGTGACACCCTTATCATGCCTGACTACATGGCTGGAATTAACAGCTGCCAGGTCTGTTCAAAAGCGCAGTTTTTGCTTGTTTCTTTACATCTTCATCTGATTTTATTATTATAGTTATTTTTTAGAAATTTTGCCGTCTCGAAACCCCACTGAAAACATTCCATGTATTTCATAACATGAAGCAGGGACTCATATGCATTGTAATGAAATGAGCAGCAGTATTTGGATTATTTGGAGTTTCTTTTGTGAGCGAGTGGATTGATTGATGTTGGTCTACATTCAAAACTTAACGCGTATTGTATCTGTCAGGGAAACTTCTGCAATCCGGGTGAAAGATGTTTTCACTCAAGTTTCTGCTCCTGTGGGAGCTGCTGTGGAATCAACAAATGCTCAGCTTGAAAACAGTACCTGCGCAGTCGGATTTGACCGGAGAAACCCAAAGAGGCAGTGTTGCGTGTCATCATCAAATGATATAGTAGCAGCGAAAGAAGTCAAGAAACCCGCTGCTGAAATAGGTCCTCGGGAGGCAACCCTTAGACATACTACCAAGTTGGTAAATGAGGTTGGTGCTAGACAGAAGGATAAGGTAATCAACTCCTTTGGGTCAACCGCAGCTGAAGAACAGGAGTCTTTGGCAGCCATGGTGGCTGTTCTGTGCGAGCAGCAACGTTTTGTTCCCTTGCTTCGAGCGTTTGAGTTGTTTACACCTACATCACCGCTTTTGCCATTTATTCGATTCTTACAGGTCAGTTCAAAATATTGTTCATTTATTAAGATTTCTCTGGATGTATTAGTAAATCAGTTTTTTTTTGAGGAAATGTTTTTCATCCTCAAGATTTCAAACGTAACTCTCTGTGCATATTACAATGAAATTAGTACATCCCATGTGTTTATTAAGGGTTTCATCCAACCAAGTGAATAGTTTATTAAAATGAAACCCTTCTCTGCTATTCATTCCGGAGAATTGGATGATAAGAATGTCTGGTGATATGAGTTACTGGGTTATCTATGCAGACCATGTACTGAGATGTAAAATAACCACGTACGTTCTATCTAACCAAATCGTATGGTGAATTTTGGGCCAACGTAGGCTTTTGCTCAAATGCGTATTTCTGAAGCGGGGGCTCATTTGGCATCTTTCTCACACTGCCTTAAAGAGGATTATCGCAAGCAGCATAGCCAGTATTCTAGAAATACGAAGGGTAACACAGTATGGATTACAGCAGCGGCTGTGGCAGCTGCAGATGCCATGTTAGATGCATGCCCATCTTCGTATGAGCGCCGTTGCCTTTTGCAACTACTTTCAGCCGCAGATTTTGGGGATGGTGGCTTAGCAGCCATTCGATTCCGCAAATTATATTGGAAGATGCAATTGGCAGAGCCAGATTTACGTTCTGGATCAGGCTTGTTGGCTAATGCAAAGGATCTTGAGGATGATGTATTGCTTCAGGAGTTGGAGAAGAATGGTCAGTGGGAGGAAGCCCGGAGTTGGGCGGGACAGCTGGATCTCAGCTCACAACGCACCAGCTCTGCTCTTCATCATGTAACTGAGACTCAAGTTAGTACCTTAACCAAAAGCAGAATATTCAATAGATTTTGGTACTGTGTTTGTAGGACACAATTCCTGAACCATTTTTACCGCACCCAATGTTCCTGCTGAAGTATTGATTCCATCGAGTAGATAATTTGCACCTTCCATTCTCTGGCTCCTCGAAATACTGGGTGGAGTTTACTTGAATTCCTTTTGTCTTGTATCTAAATTTTTTCATAAAGTCACTATCATTTGTACTCTGTCACTACAATGGCTCGCTTTTAAGATTTATTTTTGCTCTCATGACAGGCAGAAGCAATGGTAGAGGAGTGGAAAGAGTTGCTGTGGGATGTGCCAGAGGAACATGCTGCTCTTTGGGGTCATTGTCAAGCACTTTTCATGAGGCACTCATATCCTCCGTTGCAGGTTAGTGCTTTATCAATTTAGCATGCACTGTCACTAATGTTACATCTTGGAGTATAAAACTCAGTATGATTTATAAGCATTTGAATTCCACATACGATGTGCATTGATCAGAACTGATGGAAACGGTTGGCATCGTGAACACAGGCAGGTTTGTTCTACTTGAAACATGCGAATGCAGTAGAAGGGCAGGTTCCAACCACAGAACTACATAGTATTCTCTTGCTAGCCCTCCAGTGGCTTAGTGGCTCGTTCAATAATTCCTCTCCGTAAATATCCTCCTTTCTTCTCCTTCATGTGGTTTAAGAGCATGCGTTTATTTCTGCATCTTGTCTTTTTCTTGTTGGAAGGTGAGAGAGGGAACGTTACATGAAAATGTTATACCTGTTAAGCTGTGGGGTATTGTGCTTCTTATTTCACTTTGATGTTTCACTTGATCACAATTGTTGATATCTAATTTTAAAATTTGAGTTCTGTGGGATCCGAAACCATGATCAAGAATGCTTACATGCAGCTGTTTTCCTGGCAGAGTCTATCCGTTGCATTTGTTGCATGAGCTAGAGATTCGAATATGGCTTCTTGCAGTTGAAGCTGAAGTGGAGGCACAAGCTGGTCGAGATCAGGAAACTATTCTGTTGGGGCGGTCTGGAGTGTTTAGCACCGTTGGACTTCGGAATGGAGAACTTGATTCTGGAAATCCTGTCGACCGTACAGCAAACGCTGTTGCAGCTGTTGACAGTCATTTGAGAAGGTTCAATACGAGGTCTCAAGCTGATATTGTAGCCGAAGAGAATGATCGTGCGTTGTCTCGTTCTCGAAGCATTCAAATTGGGGAGATTAGCAGCTCGCAGGGTGGGTCAGTTGCAAGGATGAAACGTAGAAGCAAGCAGTTAAGACGTTCACAAATGGACAATACGGAAGATGGTTCTCCTAGCTCTCCAGAAGAAAGTCGAAGAATTAGCATTGATCGTCATCATAGTTTTGATCGACGTGAAAGTATCAATCGCTCTAACAGCGGCGAGGATCGAGAGATTCTTAGCAGGCATCTCAGCCTTCCAGTTGACGAAGATCGGATTAGAGACCCACAAATTAACGACGGCCAGATGAACCTTTCAGAGGACCATGCTCCAATGCGCGATGTTGAAACAAGAGGGTGGGAAGAACGAGTTGGAGAAGGAGAAGTTGAAAGAGCAGTTTTAGCTCTGGTGGAAGTTGGCCAGATTACTGCAGCCAGACAGTTGCAGTTGAAGCTGGCTCCTACACATGTTCCTCTGGAGCTTCTTCTTGTTGAAGCTGCTCAGAAGATTGCAACTGTGTCTGTGCCTACAGCAAAGGGTTCTGTTCCTGCATTCCTTCATCCAACAGTGGTAGAATGTCTTCGTTCCTCTGGTATCTTTGAAACTTCTGATTCAGTTACTTCCATGCAGGTATATACTTCCCTTCATTTCGACTAATTGCTGTTCTACTCTTTGCATGAACGATAGATTTTAATGTGGTGTGGAATTTGATACTCAAGGTTTAAATGACTTCGATTTTGGTGACAATGCAGGTGTTGAAGGTATTGACAAATGCCTGTCCAGAGGGTTGTGGACGTGGTCATTGCCAAAGAATTGCTGCAGTGGCTCAAATCGGACATTTCTTGGGTCTCTCCTATACAGAAGCAACTTCAAAGACGCCTCCCCAACTACTGCAACTACTCTCACTTAAGGGAAAAGAAGCACTTCCTCAGGCTAAGTTGCTGGTAGACACTCACGTAATACAAGCACCAGCCATTGCAAGGATCCTAGCTGAATCCTACTTGAAGGTAACGTCTGGATAACTCCAAATTCTCTGTATTTTACCCGTTTGTTGATTTTTTATGAAGAATCTTCTAACGTGTGCAAGCTGCTTAATAGACTTTTTGATTTTGTGACTTTCAGGGACTTTTAGCAGCGCATCGTGGAGGTTTTATGGAGTCTTCATACAGAGAAGAAGGTCCGGCGCCGCTGCTGTGGAGGTCCTCTGATTTCAAATTATGGGCTCAGCTGTGTCCAGTTGAACCTGAAGTTGGACATGCACTAATGCGTTTGGTCATCAGTGGCCGTGAAATCCCACATTCGTGCGAGGTATCTGGAACGTCTGACCTATTCAGTTACTCAAGCACATCATGAAATAGCTCGTCCTCATGTGTTAATGTTGGCATGGAGAGTTTTGGTCAAAGATCGATGTTCTAAATTACGTTGCCATTCATCACATTCAATGTTGAAGTTAAATTGGTGAAGAAGGATTGTTCGAGATTTTCATAAGCCGGGTGAATTATGGTGCAGGTGGAGCTTATCATCTTGGCGCATCATTACTATGAAATATCTGCATGCTTAGACGGGATTGATGTATTAGTTTCCTTGGTTTCCGCACGTGTGGATTTATATGTTATGGAGGGCGAATTTGCTCTTCTTGCACGACTTGTCACGGGTATCAGCAACTTTCACAGACTCCGCTTCATACTGGATGTCTTAATCGAGCATGGTTCTTTGCAACTTCTTCTTCAGAAGAAACCATTCTTTGATCCAGCAATAGAAACTTCACCACTTTCTGTTCGTGGATTCTGTATGGCTGTACTTTCAGCCCTCAAGCGCTTTAATGTCAATGACCAGGATGCCTTGATACAGGTGTGTGCCCGATCTGACAAGTGGTTGCTTGGCAAGGACCTCTGTAAATATTGGTTTCTTTTTAACGTATTTGGTGTGTGGACTTAAAGTATGATTACGCATGGGTTCTGGTTTTAATGGATTTGGTTCTGGTGGATTTGAGCAGCATGTGTACATATTCCTTTTCAAGCCGCATTGACAAGTTCTTTTTATTAACAACTATGGGATGGATCTGCCGAGTGTGAAATACAGGTGTACAATCATTTCAATATGCCGCAGGAAATGGCTATTTTATTACTTATGCGGGCACGAAAATCTGTGGAGAAATGGGTAGACCATACTGACCCTGAACATTGTGAAGATGTGCTGGAATCAATGCGCTTGTACGTGGAGGCAGCGGAAGCATTTTCAAATATTTCTGCTGGTATGCATACTAGTCCTTAAAGCGCCGAACATTTGCATAACTGAAAAATTGCAGTATGTTGGTTTCACCTGACTCACTTGTACTTACCCTAAAGACTCGGTGTTCGCAGGCAGGAATACCAGTATGTGTTGTGCACAAGCGTCACTCATATCTCTTCAATTACGAATCCCGGAGCTAACGTGGCTTAATTTGTCGGAAACAAATGCAAGGCGTCGGCTGGTCGAACAGCCCCGCTTTCAAGAGGCTCTTATTGTGGCCGAGGCCTATGATCTCAATCAAACAGAAGAATGGGTGCCTGTATTATGGAATCAGATGTTACAGTCAGGTCGTATCGATCAATATTTATCAGACTTTGTTGCGTCTCTCCCCCTTCCATTCACCCTCCTTATGGAATTGGCCCGGTTCTATCGTGCGGAGGTCTCTGCACGAGGAGATCACTTGGATCATTATACTAAATGGCTTACTTCAGGTGGAGCTCCTCCAGGTGGCTCGACATATTTGGCCAAGTCCATGAGGTTTTTATTAAAACTTGTCCGAGATATTAAGTCGCGTGTTCAGCTGGCCACCGTTGCGACTGGGTTCTCTGATATTGTTGATGCTGGCATGCAAGCCCTAGATAAGGTGCCAGATTCTGCAGGGCCCTTAATCCTACGAAAAGGCCATGGCGGCACCTACATCCCTCTTATGTAGTATGATTTTGATTTGGTACACGTCTCCTACTATGACTTGATGAGTGGGCATTCAATACGATTTACAAGCATGACAAGCATTTTCTCAGCCTGACCACGGCTACAGATATTATTCAAGGCTGAAAACTTGAACTGATGTTTCACCAAGAGCAGCAGTGGTGGATACATGCACCGTGAGTCATGCAGGGATTGGATAAGCCCTTTGCCAATATATCACATTGCTGTTTTAGAATGGAAGGGCGAGGTTCCTATTAACTAGGCTTCCCACTCACGGGGTATTCTTGCGTCATTCATTTGCGATATTTACTTACACTAGTGAAAGTGTGTATATTAGTTGGGCTCCTTCGTAATAAGAAGCGAGGTGTGCATATCGGTGTTTGCAGATGTAGTTTCAGGATGCGACATTGAACTGTAAATGTTGTATCATTCATTATACCAGCATTGTATTCCTGTGACTTTTGCAGATGTGGGTGTATAATTTACCTCTCGTTCTGAAACGAAACTCTAACTCTTTTACTTATTGTTTCATTGCTTACGTAACGCTTGGTACTGACTGAGCAGCACAGGTGTCCAATGTGTCCAGCCATTCGAGAAACTCACCGTATCAGCAGACAGCTCAACAGACGACTTGGTGTGACTCAGGACCTGAGGAACCTCATGGATTTGCCAAGTGGTACAAGTGATCACCTCATGCAACTCCCTCACTATGGCCCATTTCAACCCCCAGGGGTATCCTACCTCATGCATTCGTAAGTTCTCTTGTTCATCAGCATTTTGGTTAAATGATGGCACTGAACTCTGGTTCTTCATTCTGATACCTCATTTCCATGTTCCTTTCAATTAGTGTTTTCAACTTTTGAGGTGAGAAGCTTCCTTTGATCACATTAGATTTTGTTAGTTTTTTTGCATTTTTTTAGACTTTTTTTCTTACTTCTTGCCAGTGTCACTTTTTAGTTCTTTAATTTTTCTTTAATACATGTGTTAAACAAAAAATACATTTTTTAAAGTGTTTTTTTTTTAAAGTGTTTTTTTTTTTTTTTGATTTTTTGATTTTTGATTTTTGAACTAGTAATTCTACAATATATCATATGCATACACATTATGTATGCCAAATTTTATATGTATATACTTTGTAATCACACCAATTCTTTATTCATATCTAAGATTTGTTCGATAATATTTTAATTATACTTAGTCTAATTGCTGTAAATTTTATTGATAATATCATCAAATAATGATTTTTATCAAATATTACTTGTTTTTATACATGCTATACAAGCTCAAAAATTCTATTCAACAAAGGTTTCACGGCTTGTTATTGATCAGGTTGTGATTATATTATTACTGATTTAATCTTACAAATATTTATTCAAATGTTAGAATTGGCTAAAATATCTAAAACAAGTTAAAAAACTCCAACAGACTTGCAAATCTTAGAAGCCAAGACAGTGCCTTCTCATGCATCTCTAATTTACACATTGCCATAAGAGGCTTTTGCCTCACCTTATCAAAATTGATACATTGTTTTATTTTATCAGGCATTTTGACTCATTAATATAGTGATAGAAGCACCATTGCTTTTTTGGAGTAAAACACGTTTTATTTTTTATTATAATATTAACTATATAACTACATAAATTACATAATGGTTTAAGAATTAATTTTGAATATTTCAAATAAATCTAAAAGATCATCATATTAAAAATCAAATCAAAATTAAACTATATTATTTTTTTTTTAGATTAAAAAAAAAAACTAAATGATATATAATTAAATAATTCAAAGTCTATGAATATTCTATTTATTAATCTATATAATAGTAAATTAAAATAGGTATAAGATATAAATAATAAATTTATATTAAATAATGGTGTTTTAAAATTTTTATGAAAAATTAAATTTTATTACTTTAGGTCTAAATATATGAAAATAATATGGAGTCAAACTTTAAAATTTCCAAATTATATAAGTTCTACTATCTTTTTTAGATCAATGTTGATATTAGTAATGGTCCTCATTTAATACACATTTGAGAGATTGGTTTATATCATCTTAAGAACATAGCTAATGTGCTTTGACATATCCCTCCTTATTTTAAATATTTTAAATTATAAATTATAAAGTTGAAATATTTTAAATTTAAAACATGAATGTAACTACTTACAAGAAAATATTTGATGGATTCTATTTCATTTTTTGCTTGTTTCTCCTTCTACATCTTCCAATTTATTTTGGCAAAGTTGTTGTTGTACTTGTTTACACCACCTTTTTTCACTTTCTTCACACTAAGTCTTGTTCAATTAATATCCATTTGCAACTCACCATATCTACTTCTATTACATCAAAAAAACAATATCCAACAAGACCAATTTGATAAACAATGACTTTTTCAACATTGTATTTTAATTACTTTAGACATGCATTTTGTTCTTTTTAATTTTTATTTTGTATAATCTCAAAATTCTCCAATGCTATAGCAATCTAAATGTGTATTTTTAAGGATAAAATATACAAGAAAATTGTAATAAGATTGTGACAAAGGATTTGGTATCCTATTATTGCCGTTCACAATTTTTGAAAATGATTAATGAAAGTTTTTAGCTAGGAGTTTATATAGTCAATAAATTCTTACTTAAAGACCATATAGTAATTGCTCAAGCTACAAGCACACTTCAAATTGCTATGTGTACATCCATTGTGTCTATTCACATACTTATGACCTCTGATTGGCTAATTTAGATTCCTCCTTTCTTGTGCCAACACGGACCTAGACTTTTTATTTTTTCTTCTTAGTTCTAGCGTGGATATCAATCCCTTCCTTCCTTCTCTCTTTGTTTGGACATAATTCTTACTTCTCACCTCCTATGGACTAAACTAAGAGAAAGAAGAAAGAATTTGGATTAACCAATTAGAGGTCTTGGATGTGTATATAAACAAAATAAGTGTGCATATAGTAATTTGAGATGTGTTTGTAGCCTAAACCTAAAGTAATTTTAGTTTCTTGAAGGTTTCTATGTGACTATATCAATGCTTCATACTTATATTTTAAACAAAAATTAATTGTGTAATATTTTTTTGCAAATAATATTACTAATTTGATAGATCTAGAATGCTTATCATCCAAAATTAAGCATAGAAGATCTAAACCTCCTAATGAAGGATCTTCTCACTTTCACTTCTAATCATTCTACTTATGGATATATAACAATGAAAAATCATAATAAATAATAAACAAAAATTCTTCCTATATATGTCAATTAAGAAAACAACAACATAGTCTCATAAGAAGCATTAAAAATACAAAATTTGTCATTTCTTAGCAGAACTTCTATCATACTTTCAACATATATATACCATATATTAAAATTACAACCTCAAGGTCAGAGTGTATCATGTAATATACATAAAATAAAAATTTAATAATAGATTATTTTACCTAAAATTTATCTAATCTTATATGAAGCTGCAAATTAGTCTAGGTTTATGCTTTCTAGACCCTTCTTCTACTACTTACAGCTATCCACAATAAAAAAGCTTAAAAAAAAAATTGCACCACTTCTTTTTAAAAAATATTCTTTGATAGAGTGTCAAGGACATAAATCTCAAATGACCAAAAGATCAATATACTCTTGTGTCATTCAAAAAGATTAAAAAATCACTCAAAGATGGTATAATATTAAATTAAAATAACTATTACTAAAGACAAGAAGACCAGAAAGTCTTTAAACAAGACTAAAGACTAAAAAGGCATTGAAAAGAGTGAAGAAGGCTTCACTCTTGCCTCCATATATACTATCTAACTAGGAGCTATGTAGTGATGTTCTATAGGACCTCCAATACATATCTAACTTGTAAGACACATGGCTTAATTTGCAAAGCAAGTTTTTTATATGTGCGCCATATTGTAAGTTTGTACCATAAGCTATCAATACATGTTACACATTGCTAACTAATTAGCTAAGTTTCTAATCTATCAATCAACTACAAACATGTATAAAGTCAAAGTCACATCTATGAAACTTCTAGAAAGTTTTTTTATAAAATATTATTTAATTAATTTAATTTTATTTACTTCTATTTAATCATATTAATAATTATCGGAATAATTATTTATATTTTTGACATTACCTCCTTTCTAAGAACGAGTTCCATAAAGAGCAATGATTACATGTTGATAAAGTCCAAGATGTAATAATTTAAATTTTTTACATACTTTAATCTTTGTTTCTTTTGAAGGTAGTTGATAGGTCCTCTTAACCATTGATAATTTCTTATTTCAAGGCAAGAAAACCACCTTGTTATTTGATTATTTTTTATGCCTTTGTAACTTCTTTTAAATAAAATATTTATAATATCATGAAAAGTTGTTTTTACCTATAGTAAAATCACCAAACATTGAAAGTCTCTAAGGCCTTGATATCAAATGCATTATATCTCACCATCTATTTGATGAAGAATATGTCATTCTTGAATATCTTCATTTCTATTAAGTCAACTTGAAGGTTGTGATAATTGCAATGTCTTGTTCAAACTGCAGCTTGTTGAATTATCCACTTTAATAAGAAGAGGTGGCATTTGTCTTCTTCTTGAAATATTCACTATTTTATATGGTTCAAAAAGAGACACGTAGAATACTTGATCAATCTTCATAGACCTTGGTGTCGTAATACATGAAATGTTACTTGAGAGTGTACTGAGCACTTGATTGTAGAAGGTAGAATGGAAATTACAATAATAATATCTTAATTCTAATAGAATATTAATTAAAATCTAATTAAATCTTAATTATATTAAACAAGTTTTAATCAAATTTAAAAAGAAATCTTAAAAAAATTACAAAAGAAACAATAAGAAATCTTAAAAGAGTTGAAAGATAATCTACAATAAACCTTAAAAGAATCCTTAAGAAGTTCTAAAAAAATATTAAAATGAGCACAATATATCTTAAATAAATTTCAATTAAGTTCTAATTTAATCCTAATTTAAATCCTAATAGAATTCAATCAAATGCTAATAAAATTTTAAATCCTAAACCAAATCCTAACCAAATCTTAAACCTTAAACTTTAAATCAAATTTCAACCAAATCCTAAATCCTAAATCAGACCTTAAACAAATCTTAAATCAAATCCTAAGCAAATCTTAAATCTTAAATCAAATCTTAATCAAATATTAAATCCTAATCAAATCTTAAATCTTAAATCAAATCCTAATCAAATCCTAACCAAATCCTAAATCCTAAATCAAATCCTAATCAAATCTTAAATCCTAAATAAAATCTTAATCAAATCTTAAATCCTAAATCGAATCCTAATCAAACCTTTAATCAAATCTTAAATCCTAAATCGAATCCTAATCAAACCTTTAATCGTAAACCAAATCCTAAACAAATCCTAAATCCTAAACTAAATCTTAAGGTAGTTTAGAACCTCAATATCTTTAGATCAAATTATTGATCTTATTTAAAATTTTATACACCTCTCAATCTTTGAATAAAA